CACCCTGGATGGAAACAGGGTTCAGCGGAGACTTATTCCTTCGAAAGTCGAAGATCATTTCTTTGGTCTTGCTGGTGTTAAGCTGGAGATGGTTAAGATGACACCACTCCACAAAATAGGTAATCAAGCTCCTATATTCCTCCTCCCTCCCCTCTCTAATACACCCCACAATTGCAGAATCATCTGAAAACTTCTGCAGATGACATGTCTCAGAGTTGTGTTATGATATACATGAATCATACAGGAATGACATCATTAAATAAATAAGTAAATTTGTGAACTACGTATATATACACATAGGCCTCTTTCACATACACATCTAACACTGCTTCAAAAGGCTATGGGTGTCCCCAACATAAAATATGGATGCTTGGCCCCCAAATCCTGCAATGCAACTTTGACCTCAATGTCATCACTCTGATGTTCAAATTACAACCTCAGAGAACAAGAACTGTTTACTTATTAATTTGTTCTAGTATGTATCATACTAATATTACAAATATTTTGTAAACCATCACTCTGTATACTGTACCTGCCAATATAGTGCCCATCTCTATGAAGGATGACATAACTGAACCTAGTAATTATAGAACATTAAGTCTGACTTCTATTGCATGGAAGATCATGGAAACCATTAGTAGTGCTAAATTAGAGAATAACCCATATAAAGATCAAATTATAGGGTACAACCAAAACTGATTTATAAAAGATAGGCCTTATCTTACCATCTTGTTAGAGTTCTTCAAACAAGCAACATCAGTTTTGGGTGTACACATGGGGCATGTGATATGGTGTATTTAGGCATTTTGCTCAAACTGGGGTAATGTAATAGGTGGAGTTTCACATGGATCTGTACAAGGACCACTGGTCTTACCAGTTTATATCAATGATCTAGATTCTATAAAAGCAAAATTGCAAACACTGAAAGGGAAAACTTCTCACTGTTCAGGCTCACAAACTCATGTTTTATTAATTATAAACCAGAAGGTATTTGACCTTAGATACATATTTAGTCAAAGTTTTTACTCCAAATTACATCACGTGCAGACAACCCAGTTGTGTGGCTGTTAGCACTGCTGCCACTCAGCTCCTGGGCCCTGGGTTTAATTCTGTACTGTGGCATTTTCTGTTTGTACTATATGTTCTCCGCTCAGTTGTATGGCTTTCATAAGGTGCTCTAATTTCCTTCTACCTTCAGAAGGCATGTGTGTGTTATGTCCAATCCAGGGTGTGTTCTCACCCTTTGCCCTGTGCTTCAGGGACTCCAGGTTGCCAATACCCTTATTAGGAATAAGCAGCTTTCTGATCAAGGATGTGTAACAGGGCTCAGTGTCTCTGAGCCTTGTTACAGATGGATGGACTACTCATATTACATAACCAAGAAAGAATATAATATGACGTAAAAGAGAGGTGTATCGAAGAGGACAAACTCATGGTATCCATATGCTAAACTATCTTAATTATCATTGCTAAACATTAAAGTACACACCAAAACCACTACCAAATGAATTCTGAAAATATGTTTACAAAAACTACAGAAAGCATAATAGAATGATTTTTAGAAACTCGTCTAAACACATTTCAGCCCCCTTGTCTGACATTATTTTGCTTTTCATCAAAATACTTTGTCATACATAGACTAACTCTAGACAGTGTACTGTATTTAATTGGTTTGTCAATGTTTTTTCATGGATTTGAATTACTGTACATTTAGTCATATTTACTTGAAAAATAATCTATAATGCTTTTATTTGCCTGACGTACTGTATTCATACAATAGCTTTTATTATAGAATACTGTATTTTGATGAAAGCATTTGATTTCTAACTCACCTTGTAAAACTACAAGACTAAATGTAATCTAGGGATTGCACACTTTTCATTGTACAGTGAAAACATTAATATACAGTACTGAAGTTGTACAGTATGTAGAGTATCATTTGCATTTCAAAGTAGAAGACAAAGATACTTTCTCAAGCATATAAAGTTATTTGATTTTTAAAGCAAATGGTAAACCTTAAAAGCAATACAGAAAGAGTTTTAATTGATGAAGTCAGTAAACTTATGATCAACAAATATTTCCATTAGGTTTGATTTAATCACAATTTGAACATAATGAATAGTACATCTACCAGCATTTAAAACATAATATTCACAGGATATGACAAGTTTAGCAGTCACCATTTCTCAAGAGTTTATTATAATTGCTGATGATTTCCAATTAATACAATAAATATGTCCTTTTATTAAAATAAACTGTACCTGAAGACACTTTCACTGGTTCAACTATAGTGATTAAATGTTACAGACAAAACATTTTAGTCACAAAGGATTGAATAACAAGTGTAGGATAAGAAATTTCTTTTGTATGTTTAGGAAGAAAAATATTTAAAACATTTACTTTTATTCTGTCATAAGTGGTGTGCAGTAACACAGTTGAGGCATTCCTTTTTCATCATTATGTAATGCCTAGAAACATTAATGTTTTAATGTATTCATACAGGAAAATATAGAGTGACCAGAATCTGAAATATTTTATAGCCTCATAGTATTCTGATACATTACAAAGTAAAATGAAGTATGTTTTTACAGATTTTTGGAAATCTATGTGACAACAGCAATATGTACAGTAAGCATCTCAGTACATTGCACTCTAACACTATGGCCCAAGCATTTTACATATTTCAATAGAAGTAACATTTCCACAATGGCCTAATATGACTTATGCAAGAATAGTTTTTGTAAAGATTTTCTTTATATTAAAACAATAAAACTACAGACCTATTTTTAAAACACAAATGATTGTGTTTAGGTGATAATATTAAAAATATTTGTTTTTGGTTGTGAATTGACTGTTGCTGATTGTGTATAGTGCGTTATGTACTGTAACAGAACTGTTATTCTTCTGTGTAATATATATATATATGAGTTAGCTGTTTTCAATCCTTTTGATTGAGATGTATTGCATTTTTAGTTAGCATCCTACTCCACAACATTTTACCAGTTCTATAGTTTTTTTTGGAGAAATAAAAAACTGCATGCTCTCATTGAAGAATCTAGATCTGTTGTAACAACAATGGAACTGAAATACTTTTTGTTTAGGGTGTTTGTTGAGACCTGAAAGGCAGTGTTTTTAGAAAAGCTTAGCTAATGTAAAATGAAATAATACAAATGCGAAATTGAATTTGTTACAGATTGTGCTATGGACAAAATATCTATAAAAATTATACATGACCAAAAAGTGTGCAGTCAGGTGCAGAGTCTATTAACCAATGAAATTACTGTCCTATTAAACTGCTGATGACATAAATACTGACCTCCTTTGTCTTTTATAACTTTAATGGATGAAGACATTTCTTAATGCTCTGAATAGAGGCTTTGGGTGTCCAACACAAGAACAGCACTAGCTAGTTTTTAGCAGTCCCCTTTCTTTCTTGGGTTTTTTGTTCATTATTTTTTGTAATTACAGAATCATTTTTGTCCAAGCAAAGATGCTAGACATTAAATAAGATACATTTGTTGGACTTACATTGTAATAAAAAAGAAACAGTAATACAGACGTTAGCCTTGTAAAGGTACATAGTTGCTATGTAGCAAGCCTACACATGCTTGGGTAAACTGAACTGGGAATTATACAACCACTATGTGATCTATTTCTGCTTTAGCTATTTTTACACAAGTGTTAGAGGTTAATAGTTTTATTTCCTGCACTGGGTCATTTTACCATATGCTGCAATGTGTATGAAGAACATTCAGCATCACCAAACACTGGGTGCATTATCTACTGTACACCACAACACAGGAAACTGCATGGTTTGTTTTTACTAATTGGCATCAGACTGGCATGTGGCAAATAAAGACAACTAACAACGGGGATGGTCATGTCTTTTTAATTAATGAGTTTAAAATCAAATTTTATTTTTCCTGGACTAAAGCCAATATAACCCAATAATGCAACCACTCTAAATTAATGTTAAGCCACTTTAAGGTATAGTTTATAGTTAAGTCCTCATGAAATTCCCTAAACCAATTCCATGGTAACTGTTACAGAGCAACAGCTCAAACACCACTATATGACAAGTAAATGAACAGATACAAACTTTAAAACAAACAAAATGTCTTTTGACAGTACTAGAAGTACATTCTATTTAGAAATTGTTATTTTGTATTTAATATCCTTTTCTTTGCTGTGGTGTGGAGGGGTGATTCAGGCGCTGGTGTTGGAAATGAAAGCTTGTGGACCAAAACCAGGAAAGATTAAAAAAAACATCCAAGCTTAAAAATACACCTTTCAGATTTCACTGTTAGGCGCTGCATACATCTGTTCTCTGAACATTATATGCTGTCCTAAAACCAGCCTTTAGAAAATGTTTAACCTAATTTTCCTTTACAACTTACATTAAGGAGATCTACCTAGTGGATTCTTCTGATGTGTTTGAGGTTTATGTACAGGGTCCATCGAATCACCTGAGTGCTGCGTGACCCCTGCACTGTCCACACCTGAAGTCCTCCTGTGCCTACCTGTAGCCATGCCGACACACAGGGGTGACAACAACCAGGAACCCACACTAAGGTCCAGTGTCATGTTCTTCAGGGCTCCATTTCCATTACACAGGTCCAATTTACAGAAAATACAAAAATATGGGGAGCTGACAAACATCGGAAAGGAAGTGATGGGATTAGAAAAAAGACTTATACAAAGTGCTGGACTGGGAGATATTTACACTCAGCAAATTAAATTGGACATTGATAAGTGGAAAGTTACTTCCACAGGAAGTATCCAAGGGAGTGCATGGGCGATTGTGAGCAGCAGAATGTTATTGCATTAAACTGATCTCAGTGTTGAAATAGATCATCAAGATGCCAAGGAAAAGCAATTAAAAAAAACAACAGAAAGTTGTATATAGCAGCACGTGTTGAATTAACAGGTAAATACACTTAACCCAGATGTCCATTTCACTCTCTGTTGTGACAGAAGGAAATAGTGTCAGAGGTGGAATTAAGGAGGAATTAATTTAGAATGTAGAACAAAAAACACATCTTTACACAAATAGGTATCTGGAAAAAAGGCATTCTAGCCAACTGGTTGAGGCCCAAACTCTAGGATCCTTCACAAACTGGCTAGACAAAAAATTAGATTCACTTAAATTATTGTAAGCACACAGCCAGTTCAGACAATATGTCAGCCTTGTCTGGTCCATATTACTCAAACTCCTCTGGGGAATGGGCAGCTGTTCTCAGTCACCTGACCAGTTGTAGGAAAAAAACATTGCTCAGGTGAGTGCTTGAAAAGCAGGAAGTGGAGGCTTTCTGTGTCAATCAGTCTGTTGTGTGGGAACGGAGGGCAGACCCACTTGCCAGATCGAGAGCTAAAGGAAGCTTTTTAAACACACACCTGACGGGTTGTCTTCCCTGAGCTGGGCAGGTAAATGAGAGCAGGTGCTCGTTACCCCAGAGGTTTTTTTGGAGAATGTGATCCCAACAAGGCTGCCATACTGTCTGAAAAGGTTGTGCCCTTACATTATCTATTTCTTAGAACTATCTGAATGAAACTTGTATGTGATATTAGAACCACATTTTAAAATAATTTTTAAAAGTCATTGTTGTGTTTTTCAGAACTTATTTTAAACAACAATAAACAATACATTTTCTGTGTTTTGAACATTGAACAGCACAGATTAAAAAAAAACATCACTGGTTCCATGTGTTTCACATTGTATTTCACATTTTCACAGCGACACATTCCAGCTGGCTACTTGACTTTCTTCCCTGGTTTGTGATGTGTAGCCTTTGAAAAAAAATATAATGTCTTGATGCAAAAGTGAAAGCTTTTATTATCGCTTTGGACATTTGAAGAAACCTCCTTAAAGTACTTCTTCACACAAATTATTATTTGCTATTTCTCTTCAAACATGCCTTTGTCCTGGCAAACTAAACATGAACTGGAGATGACAAAATAAAACTACCAACATGTCATCTAATTTTTATAATAATCGACAGAAATACATTCTGTGTCTACACTGTGCCACAGTGGTGAACATCTATATATGTCTTCTGTGTTACTTCATGACTTTCCATATTACTAACCTCAAGGTTTTCACTTGATATAGGACACTTCATGTTTAAAATGCAACTCAATCTGACTATGATGGAATGCTGTTTACTAATCTAATCACTCCTTACTTTTTCTTATATCCACATAGCTGTTCTAAGTGGAAAGTAACAAAGAAAAATTGAAGAATTAAAGAAACTGAAGAATTACTTCAGTTTTTTGGAAAGTACTTTCGGGTCAGCCAGAAATTACTCAATCATAAGACGCAAAGGGTAAAAAAATAGCTTAATTTGTGCCAATGCCCAACAGCAAATGCACTGGATTAAAAAGGACAACCAAAACATGGTTTCTAACGTGCGAAGGCCATTTGGCAGATCTCAACTGCTGGGTAGGGAGAAGCTAACTAATCCTAGGATCTCATCCCATCATTCCTTGAAAGACGCCAATGTACTGGCTTCCACAACATGGCTGGATGCAAAGTTATATATGTACCGTTTCATGTTTTTGCCATTTATATTTTTAATCAACACACATTGCATTTTTGCAGGATGCCAATGTAACAAAACTTATTCACTGCCCTCTTGTGTATAGGATTTCTTATCCTTATTAGTGCTGAAAAAATGTGATTATCGTACACTATATAAATCTCTATTCTCTTTAAAAGAACATGGAAGGACATATCATTAAACTCCTGGCAAAAATAAATGCACATCCATATGTTAATTAGTGAACTGTAGGACTGAAATTTAAGTTAAATTCAAGTCTGAGATTAGGGATCACCTATAAACTCTGTTTAAATGATTGTTAGGACTAACAGTTAGAAAGTGAGATGTTAAGTGAGAAGCAGTCTTGTTTTATAATTAACACTTTTTGTGTTGTTTACAAGGAAAAAAACAGGACAAAGTCAAGTTTAAAGGGATATCACATGATGAAAAATAAACACCCAAAACACAGAACACCACGTGTATTGAGAAAAAGAACTCCTCATATTGCTTTTTTACTTAATGTACCATTTAGCAAATTACAGTCTAATGATCATTTTTCTGAACTTCAAAAACAACTCTCTTTAATTACATAAAATTCACATTATAAGAAAATAAAGGTCATTAACATTAAGACTGCAAGTACATTTTGCTGTTGTTACAGCACTATTAACTTAAGACAATTTTCATGGAGTTGTGTAAAATAATTGTACTGTCCAGATATCATAACACTGCAACTACAGAAATGCCCCAAGCTCAAAAAAATAATGTGCTGATGTTTTGAATATTCCATGCTTTTCAGCCCTTACATGGAAAAAAATCAAAATGAAGAGCTGGATTTGCTTCATAGTAGCTTGATGGTAAATTTCACCAAGCACATTAACAAAATGCCTCAAGAGAAATTTCTTTTTAAACAGGCTATAGAAAATAATTCTGCTAAGGTTAGAGCTGCCTCATCTCAAACTGTATGCTGCCGGTGTTAGCTGGGATCCTGAGATCTGCGGTCCTTTCAGGGCTGGGCTTCTGCAGCTCCTCTGAATGACAGGCCAGGTGCTGTGAGGTGTCATTGCTCAAGGTCAACATCTGATCAGTCCCGGGAGCTCTTCTATCATAGTAAAGAGCCCACAGCAGAGTGACAGTGAGGATCATGGCCAGGATCTGGGACACCCCTATCGACACACCCAGGAACCTCAGAACCTGCAGCTGCTTCGTGCCTCTTATGAAACCGTATATTTTTGGACCGCAACCCTACACAGAAAAAAAAAGGCTGTGTTAAACGGATAGCAGCTTACGACACACATCCCTTGAAGAGACATTTACCATATTTTCTTCAAAAACCTCTTGGATGCTACTTTTCTCAAATGGCTTCTTGGTCTCGTGCCTGGACGACAAATTTCTCACGGCTACATTTTCTTCCACAACTGGATTGCTAGAGCAGTCACATCTCCTCCCGGTTCTGGAGGGCCACTGTCCAAATGGTATTAGAGGTCACTTATTCTACAGCAGGTATCTTCTGGTATCTATAGGTAACTTATTTACTCCATGAGAAAAGACATGGAATCAGTTGAAATAAATAGATCTTGAAAGTATACAATTGTTTCATAAAAAAGCCCAGGCTGGTGTGAAATCAAGATCGCCCTTCCAGGCCAGCAGGGAATATCACTGTGTTAAGAGTGTGCTTTGCCCCCTTCAGTTCATAGTTGTGATTTTTTATTTACTCAGACTGCACGCCCCTCTCTCTGCACCTCTCTCTTCTTCACACTTTGGAGTGAAGCAGCTACTGACCTTTACCATCTGGACAACTGCACAAGTGCAAAATTGTCCGCTGGCTCGCAGCTGTCTGTGCGTCCTCTGTGGACTCTCTGCTCCTTTATTTTTTATACTCCCATCCCTGAAACGTCTCTAGAATCCATGTGAATATCTTGCTGTACACAAATGTCCTCATCTTGGCATGAATGTGTAAGTAAATGGACACCATGATCTAGCTCAGGAAATTTTACGGAGCAGAAATAAAGATGTAAAAGGGCAGTTCATTATTTTCTGGCAGGCAGCTCTTTACTGTCAAGTGTGACATGCCTGAGAAACCTATTTTGGCTCCAACAGCTGCCCCATCTTTAAAAAAAAAAGAAAACAGAAACAAAATTTTGTCTCGCTCCAGACATTGCCTTAATTGGCCTTTTCTTAATGAATTACATCTTTTTTCCTAATAGGCATGTTTCAAAAAGACAATATTAACATAAGTATGACATGATTAACTTCTGAGCAAGTCAGAGGCTTCTGACACTGTTTTGAGCAAGCAGTGCTAGCATGCCAGTTTTTCATTTTTAGCATATCATTGCTGTAAGCAGCCTTCAATGGTAAATATTTATTAAAACTTAGAAAAAGATTGTATAATGTAATGTATTTGTTTACTGTAAAGAGATAAGAAAAAGGATTTTTACAAAGGCCTAAAGTCTGCCTCCACTCCAGGGTAAAGTCACTCCACTCCAGCACACTGCCTGTGCTGTACTCTTTGTGAAAGGCATAGGAGGATTTTAGTCTCTTGTGCTGTGATTATCCACCACCTTTGACAAGGAATACATTTATCACAAATTTCCATTTCCACACTAACAGCTTCCTCTGAGGCTGATCTGCATTTTGCTAGGGCAAACTAGGGTCAAGAAAGACAGACTTGACACTGGGGCTGTATGATTCGCTGAGAGAATGATAGCTAGTCAGACTGGAACGAAAAACCTCGCCTAAGGATGTGGATGATTAATTACAAACAGTGCCAAATTCCAGCTTTATTATTATGGCTGCTTATTAGTCAGTGCACCAAAGTAAAGTTCAAATTACTTAAACTAGAGATATACTGTTATACTACTGTATAAATATTAACTTGTTTTTTCTGTTTAGAGAAGTAGATTTGTGACGTAATTCTTCGTAATAGTGGTAGCAACACAACTTTAAAAATAAAAAAATAAAGGTGACATTTGCACTGTATTTAAGATTCCTGTACTACTGTACATGTTTTCTTTGTAATTGCTTTTACAAAGCACTTTACCTAATTGTTGATGGATGTATACCAAACACTTAACATTTAAGCACTTAAAAAGTTAGAAAAAAAACGAATTTACATTTTCAAACTTAAAATACTTCTTTCACATTATACTAGAAGTTAAAAGTCACTAGTTAAGCTTTCCTATTGACATCATAATTCATAACAACAAATACATATTAAACACTTTTAAGAAACCTTTATTACTATTTTTGTCAAATAAGTATTAGTTTATAAGCTCTATGAAACCGCACAGTCAAGTCTTTTGTATGTTACTGAACTATGACATAGAAAAGTGTATTTTTATTTTCATGCGAGAATTTCTAAAGAATCACACAGCATGTCACATTTCTGTAAAACAAGAAGTTACACAACCACATTAACCCTGTCTTTCACTGGCTTACCTCTTGGTGGAGCTCACTCAGGTCCTCGTAGTGGGCTTGTCTTGCACAGCCTGGGAATTCTTTATTACAGCAAGAGTCTGGAGGCCACTCCATCTCCGTCATCTCCAGCCAATCGGTGAAGTACATTACTCCACAGCACTTGAACTGAACAAGGAGCACAAGCTTGAACTACAGTATATGTGTGCAATCATTGTCTACCTATTGTCTACGGGGAAGAGTGGTGGCACTGTGGCTAGGGATCTGTGCCTGTGGCTGGAAGGTTGCCGGTTCAAATCCTGAGGCTGGCAGAGGAATCCTACTCTGTTGGGCCCCTAAGCAAGGCCCTTCACCCCAGCTGCTCCATGGGTGCTGTATAAAAAAAAAATGGCCAACCCTGTGCTCTGACAACAACCTTCTCTCTGTCTGTGTGTCTCATGGAGAGCAAGTTGTGGTATGTGAAAAGACAAATTCCTAATGCAAGAAATTGTATATGTCTAATAAAGTGATCTTATCTTATTTCCCTTTACATACTGTAAGTCTCTTTGAGCTGTACCAAAATCCAGTGAAAGGCGGTATTTGGCTGGTTCCTGACGATGAGACAACTACCATTACATGGAGAAAATAAAATTTTTTGAAGCAACAAAACCTTCTTACAATTAGTTTTTTTCAGATCCCAACTGTCTTTTACAAGTAGTTAAAAGACAAAAAGGAATTGTTCGGGACTCACAATAACTTTAATCAGATTCTGTACATATTGTACTTTTTAGAACAAGCTAATTCGAAATAAACCAAAACAAATACACATTAATGAAGGAACAATATGGCATAAAATATTAAAATGGTCTTAAGTGAATCATCACATTTTAACTGTCCAGACTCACCTCTTTCTGAAAGAAATTCCATGCATGGGTTAACCACTGATAGCGAGATAAGCCATAATTGGGCATTCTTGATTTTAAACTGATCATGTCAGACCTCTGTAGAGGGACCTGTGATTTAAAAAACAAATAAACACTTTTCTTTTTATTTTGCATACAATTCTGAAAAGACAGTCTGTCATTGTTCGTGCTGAATGTCTTAAAAATGAGTTACCTCTGCCCTTTTTAAAAGCCCATTTCAGACCCATGTATTTGAAGTTTACAGACTTTGTCTGCCACAGCTAATTTCACAACAAATCTTAATTTGCACAGCAGATGCTTTTAGTTCAGTGTTGTAGGTTATGTCTGTTCTTTCAGTTTTTAACTTCACGTCATTCAATATTCCAATATATCCTAGTTGAGATAATCGCTATTCTTAAAAACTATTCATAATATTAGAGAAAAGCAGAGATGCAAATACCATATTATTCTCGCACAATGGAAATCCACCTTGCTGCATTTGATCTTCTTAAAGCAGATACAGAACAGTATACAAACATGTCCAGTACACATACTACATCTGAACTACCAAGATATCAGAGATAGTCCTTTAAGGAAACACTGCTGTGCTAATAGGACGTGTGATAAGTACATTGCAATGTAGTCTATCCTGAATACACCAGGCGAATGGTCAAATAGCTGGAGATCAAAGACTGTAAACTAGTGTGCAAACCTCTCTCTTACCATTCAGATAAGCTCCTCCTGTAACAGAGATCTTTGTAGAAATGCAAACATATCAGTGTTCACAAGAGAGCACCTTCCTAACCCAGCGACAGGCTGAAGATAAGTTACCTTCAGCTCTGGTCGCATTTACATTTCTCTCTGTTCTTACCAACAATGCTAAAGACCACTGTGCAATACAACATTGTGATCTTTAATTGAGAAGGGCTTGGAAAAGGCTTTTAATTTGGTTTGACACTGTTTAAAATTCTAAAAACTGTTACCAATAACACAGTAGTAACATTTTCAACACTAACAAACTGTTTGTAAATGATCTACAACTATTAATGAGCTAACAAAAGACTATCAATCCATTTTTATTTGTTTTATATTTTGAAAAACATAATGTAAATCCTATCCCATTCAATATTGCTGAAGCATGACACATGAATTCTAATTTGTCCTATATTGAAAACAAAATGTAAATTACTGATTAATTAATCACTTTAATTCATTAATTAAAACTAAAACGTAATCACTGAAGCTTTTGTTTTTAATATAATCCAACTATGTCCTATAAGACAGGATCAGGGCCCTTTATAAAGCAAACACATAATTAGTTTGACTATTTCAATTACTCAAAAGAGAACTCACCAGGTGGTCTTGTTCATATGTCCATACACCACTGGCCAGCTCAATGCAGAATATCACCAGAAGACTTCCAAAGTACTGTAGAAGCAAGAAGCACAGCAACTTTGGTGGATTACAAAATATGTTTATGTTTATAACAAAGCATTGAGTCTTAATGTTCCCTTTCATTACGTAAGGGAAAATGATCGATCAAGAAATGTATTTTATTATAGTTTTCCTTGTACAATTACTTAAATTATTGCAATCTGTAATACTGTTGGTCCAATTTGGGTCATAGTAACTTCTAGACTTCACGCCAAAATAACTTCAGTATCTAATTTAGTTATTCAAGGTCCATAATAAAATATTGTGTGAAATTCTTTGACTGTGACTGTTATTAGCTAATCAGTAATATAGTCATGGTTTTCGTATAAAACTACAACTGCAGTTGTAGCTGAGTGAACAACATTTTTTTCACGAGTATGATATTAAACAGTAGTTAGAACATGTTGACTAATATTTTTCAACATCAATCTAAAGCATCAACTTATTAAGATTAACGTCCAGCCAGACTACCCCTTAGATTAGCTTCTGTCTGTATTAAAAAGCTATGGTTTAGGATGTTTATTTGAAGAATCCAAATATTTGTAGAAGACAAATGACACAGCTGCTTCTTTGTTAATATTTCAGTCCATTTAGAGTGCTGAAATCCAAACAAAATAGAATGCCATTCTAAAAGTCTTCTGACATTACTGCCCAATCTATTCTTTGTCTGTTAAGGTGGTGAAGCTCTACTTTCCTATGCCTTTAGACAACTGCTATTATTAGCTTTGAAAAAGACCTCCGAGACAAAACAAAACCAATGAGAGGTTAAGGAAAGTATAAAATATTGTTGGAAACCAAAGTAAAAATCACAATTAGTACAGACTCTTCATAATTTGTCACAGTTAAGCAAAATAATTGAATCGCACTTTTCAGCAAATTTTTCATAGCGTTGAAGTGAAAATTATGGGGCTACTAGTATCTGCTGTAAAGACTTCAGGCTCTGTGCCTGATTGAAGCTAATGTCCTTCACCTTCACATTTAATGAGCAGTATTTTTTACAATCACCAAAGTGAAGGATAAAAAGATCTCATTGTTTCTGTGACTGTTTCCATTTAATATTTAAATTAATTTGTGATTTGTGAGCTATGATTAATTTTTGCAGTGCAGATTCATTATCGCCTTTCTCGCTGCAGATACCCTTGAATGTTCAGTAATCTTTCTTTGTGTCCAATGACATGGGCTCTGTTGGTGCAGAACATACTGCACTTAAAGGGATCCTATGAATAGTCTTCAGAAATCTGAGCATGACTGCCTTTCATTTTTGTGTACATGATTTAAAAGGAAAGGCACGATGCATTGTTCTCTAGACTAGAAGACAACATTGTTCTTCCCATGCATCACTAGTAACACAAGAATACGAACTTTCTACAAAGAATGAATGACTTTTTCCAAAAGCATACTGAATACAAGAAGATGGTTTTCGAAAAGGGGGGGGGGTGTTCTTTGTGTAAGGTTATATGCAGGACCACACCACTCCCTCTAAAACAGGGCTTTTGCATTTACTATTACATTTTCTGTTTTACAAATATCAGTATCACATTATGAAATGAATTGAAGACATTTCAAAGAAGAAGCACTAAAGTGTGATTTCTTTAAAACACTGATCCCAAATACCCTTTTATTCTGTATTTGTATATGCTGCCTTCTAAATTTGAGGTTATACAGCAGAAGGCTTAATATTAATTTAATCAATATTAATAGATATTAATTACATTTATATTTCGGTCAAGACGGAACAGGCCAATGATAACATTGGTAAAAAGACAGGACATACAGTACAGTATAATTTGACACAAAATGTATATTTTACATAGAAAACAACAATCCAAACATCTCTTAAACTCATGGAATTCCCCTCTAAGCTGGAGAAAAAAACTTTTGGCAATCTGTCCCTACCCCTGAAGACAAAGACAGTAACAGGTTTAACTACGAGCATCAATCTCTTTCATTATGTAAATACCAGTCTAAGCATTTTTAACTGGGAACACTGAGCTCATCCTACATTCCGTGTAACTGTGTCTGCAAATGCTAATCGACTCTGTATCTGTTGGCTTACTTTATCTACCTTTTTGTTATCGTAAATGATTGAACAGACTAATTCCACATGTCTCCACTGATTAATGCGTGGGAGGTCCCTTGTTTGTGTTCTTGTCCTGTCAGCCTCTTAAGTCTGACAAATGTGTTGACTCAAGTTTGTAATTCATAGTGTTTCAGCAACACATCATTTTCCCTGCAATTATTCACATAGTGTGGCAGGCCACAGAATGAATTGTTTTACAGCGGAACTCATCTGGAAACACGCAGAATGACTTTTTCACTGATACACACAGCACATTTTTTTAAAAACAGTACTTCTTCTGCCCAGTGACTCTGAATAAAAATTATTTACACGTCAGTGTAAATGCACAATAAAACACTGCAGCATGAAATACTTGTGATTACAAAGTATGTATGTAAAGTAAAGTATGTGGTAGCACATATATCTACAGTTTGTGAATTAGTACCCTTCTTAATTCTGCTACAGTACCTCACACTCTTCAGTCATTTTTTATTACTAATTCAAAATTCAAAATTAGATTTAAAGCAACGACCTTTTTTCAGCTTTAACTGCCACTTATGTAAGCAAAAACACTTATTTAAAACAGCAACATAAATAAAAAATTTACCAATATCCGGCAGTGAGATTCAAATAGTAAAGACAGCAAAGAAACTGCTACCTCGTTTTTATTAGGGCTATGTTTTTATTTTTTTGCTCCAGCAATTGTCATCTCAGTGCTGACAGGCATTTTTTGTCTAATACATCCAGGTCCCTATCAGCAGCTGGGCCAGTGACACTATTTTGTTGACTTGGGTCAAAAAGAAAGCAACAAACTACTAGAGTTTGCCCAGATGGATTTCAGTTTCTCCTGTATACATGAAGACATAAGTCTTCTGAGTCTTATGGTTTATTGTAAACAACTGTTGCATTATACATACAGTAGGAACTGTGACGATTTTGCATTACCTAGTAAAATACCCATTTTCTAGCAAGGTGACTGATCCATTTAATGTTCTAATTTAATGTTTCAAATATGATTTATATTACGTAGCTTTTTATCAAACACTTTATTTGGCTCATCATATAGGAAAAGAAAAAAAATGCACAGGCCGATACAGAGGCTCTGTGTTACATGTTTTCCTTTTGGCACTGCCTTGAAACTGGAGTTCTTACAAACCATACAGGTATGCAATGTGTAATGCGGCTTTATGTTACATATTAAGTAGTTTGTTTTGAAATGAGAAAAAAAACGCACAGGAAGGAGAACTTGTGTGACTCCAGATTCCCTTTCTGGAAACAAGACGAGCTCCTAAGAATTCTGTTAATATTGTGCTCTGTGGAAAATTAATCAATGGAACACATACCCATGAAAGAAGCAGCAGATTGTTTTTTACTGTTCCACAATAACCCAGCATCCCTACTATGATTAGAAAACAGCACACAGCAATCATCACTGGATGGACCACCGGGGAATACGTCAGAATCACTGCTTCCTCCAGCCTGCAAAGAAACAGCAATTCCTGAAGGCAGCTTGGCAACACTGCTGTTTATTTATCTACCCAGCCTGCTCTCAGCACTTGTTATTAATACTTGTGCTATAAGTGATTTCTGATTGTACTCAGCTGGAATGCTACCATTTTTGCACTCTCCCAAGCACCTACTGTAAAACGACTTAAGGCCTGCAAAGTTATACTTTAAACGTAAAAGGCCAGACATGACTCTAGTATTAATTTGTTGTTTACAAAAAATACAGCTTGTTTTTTAGTAATACATTAAGTCTCTCTCTCTCTTACTTTGACTAAGGAGCGAGATCTCCCGATTTAATAATGACTATATTCATTCTACGAAACGTTAACAGAAAAGTCCAATGTAAATGTATTGCTCTTGGGTGATTCTGAGCTAGCCTTCATGCATTTTAAACAGCAACAATTACTCAAAATGTTCGTTCTGATTACAGCACATGCTAGCTGTGTACTTCTGTAGAAAGGGGGGAGATGTTTGAATGTCTGAATGAGCATTAGATACACTAGATAATTCTTCATGGCTGTGTTGGAATTTCTTCTCAAAAAATGTATATTGCATATATTTCAATTCATAGTAACATTTTGCCATCAACATTATTAGGTTTCTTCTAAGGCAGACCTATTTTATACTGTAATTAGTATGACAGGCATTCAAACAGTGTAGTTTGAGTTCTTCGCTTAGGTAAACAATGAATTAATAAGTAGACACTGCATTTCTATATTTCAGTACAGTTCAGTTCACTATATACTAACATAAGTCTCCAAATCTTACCTGGTGTCAGCAGTTAAAGTAATAACATTGTTCAGGTAGTCTCTGAGCCAGGCAGCCACACCCAACACACAGATGGACATCAGCTGAATAGAGGAACAGATCGCAACCTCATAAATACAGACTTAAGATTTTACTCTTGCTGGTTACTGCATAAAATATAAACTGCACATTAACTGCATTTTTGACTGTGCAAATATGTACATGCTGTTTTAACTTCCAATGACAGCTGGAAACGGTTCAGGTTATATTTATATGAACGAGGATGTACAATTTGTGTTTTTTTCTTACATTTTGCTCACAGCGTTCATATGCAAGACACAGGGTTATCACTGGGGGGGAGAATTACGTGTGTTCTGGGTGAGAGTATTATCATCATTCTAGTCTGGCTCCAAGAACACGAGTGGTCGTCGTAATCTTTAATCGGTAATGTGAGCACTGTCTCTGCCACCTGCTTCGGCATTCGACTTCTCTTACCCAGAAAAGTAAATTGAGAGCGTAGAGCAAGCAGCGCAGGCACTTCACCGAGTCCTCCCTGGCCATTCTGAAAGCTGCAACCGCTGGACAAATCTCATCATCTTAATTCTCCCGACCATAGCAGCCCAAAAAGACTGCAAAATAAGACCGAAAACAATTAACGAGCTACTTCAGCACGAGAGAAATTACATACAGTACGACTGCAATGCAATGAAACTTTCGAGAGCAGTATTCAAAAAATTGGTAAGGGGTGCATTTCATTTTAATTAGGTTATTAATTTTAAACATACCGTTAAAGGGTTGTCAACTGTCGCTTAAATGTGATTTTCCTTCAACGTCTTCTTAAAAGCAAATTGCCTTCGTGGGAAGATACGATCATTCACAACAACAGGTGTTTTCTTCATAGTTTTGTGACCTACAAAACGTGGGATTCACGGAAGACTGGACACTTCTGATGAAATTCCGGAATCGTTAACTTTGGTTAATTTACTTTAAAAAAAAACACTGGCTTGCAAAAGTCAAAAAGATATTAACTGCTCACTCCAGAAAGCCATGAAAACATATTTATCGAGTTTTGTTTTCGGTTACGCATAGAAAGATATTCGTGAAAAGCATTTAAACGTTATATTTTTGTCTCCAAACGTACAAAACGAGATAACATGACAGCATTCCATCTGTATACTTAGAAAAAAAAACACTAGCAGAAGACGGGAGAGAGCTGTTCGAAACTGTCACTGAAGGCTATCGTTCACTCAGATCCTTTAATTTTACTTGAGAGGCGTGAAGCAGGTCATCTGTCATGTTCTGAGAGAAATCAACCTTCCCCTAAAACACCTATCTTCCCTTCAAGGAGCTCCGTAGACACACCACTGAAGTTTTGAAGTAACCAAAATATTTTTGCGTGCTGTCAATAGGACTTGTGCTTGTAAGGAGTTTCAGTGACTGAACGCGCACACTCTTCACCCTGACAGACTTGTCTCGGTGTTCTTCTGGGTCCTAGAGACACAAGATAGCTAATTGAGGCGACTCATACGCACATCAAGTCGAAAAGCATCCAAGACCGTTGGAGAAAAAGAATGTGGGCGGTAAATCCGCCTCCGAAAGATAGCATTTGTCGGTCAAGGGGTCATATCTGAGAGAGCATTATTGTCTCAACTGAAAGCAAGACGCAAGCTCTTCCACCCCCTTCTTGACAGGAACAGTTTGTAAAATAAAGGACTTTTGGTAGTTAAGGGGGTGCAAAACTAACCTTTTCACCTTTTGTAACCCTCCTCCCTTCCCCGCTTGTATTCCTAATATTGAAGATGTATTTGTCAGCTGGGGTCTGCAACACCGAAAATAACATTTAAAAACTAGCGCACTCGTGATGCAATAGTACAGCAGTGTAATCCGTAAACGTAACGGATAACACTTTGCGTTTTCTTGTTAGGGGATCTGATATTTGTAGTCTGTGTTGTTTTGCTTACTCTGTAATCTATAGGATTTTAATTTCTGAACGTTTTTTATAACCACTCTGTACATTTTCCAGAGTAGTGTTTCTGAAACCGAGGGATTAAATTGATTGAATGGATACCTTTGATATCAGATTAATGCATTCATAACAGACCTAATCTCAGCGATCATCGGCAAATTACTTATTTTGCACAAAATATTTAATCTTGCATGTATTTTCCCTATAAAACATTTCATCGATTTTCTCATAGAAGCACGCCGTTTCTTTAAAAAAGTTGTATTCCTTGTCTATTGGACCAGCTGTCCCCACCTGACCATCTCAGATGTTGCTGAAAAAATGACCATTGCTATGTTATTGAAATATGAACAAATTCCAAACGTGGACTGAATATACATTTCTTTAAAGTCAATGTTTTCCATCCAGTTGGTGCAATAGTTTTTGCTACGTGGAATCTATATTAATTTGCCAAATGTTTTCAGAATTTGGTTTTCACAGTGACAGATATATTAAATAATAAAATAATAAGACAATAGATTATTTTATTATTCCAAACATTAAAGACACACAAGAAAAGACGGACATTTTTAGATGAAGCTTATTGTTTTAGAAGGCTTTAGAATTGCCCCCTTCACATTACATATTTCAAAATATATGCATTCTAAAATGCTTGCAGACAAAAACAGACCTAAATTCCTCAGATTACCTAGACATTCAACATCACATGGATGAGTGAAGCAAAACAAAGAATAAAATATACTACAATGTCCTTAAAATGAATGCAAAGTTTACATATATTACAAATTCTTTAATTTCTTTTTACAATCAAGATTTTCATTTTCACAAGAGCCATGAGGCTGCTTTATCACATACAGAAGAACTAATTAATTAGCAATGAGCTAGTCAGGAGCATTTTTCTGTCCAACTGATATAAATACTAGCTCCTCCTAAAAAAAAAAAGTTAATTTTCCCGAGTGAATAACAATGGAGTTTCATGCATCACAGGCCACTGTTTCATAAGAGAGCTGTATGCAGCTACACCATATGTTACATTAGATCGCACACCTCAAAACAATTAAAATTGTGTATACACTGTACAGTAGATATCTGTCACGCCTTCTGGCTGATCCTACTCTGTCCTGTCCCTAGTTTCCTGTGCTTTGCTGTCCTTCCGGTATCTCTCTCTCTCTGGGGCTATATATTTCCGGGTCACTCATTCACCTTCGCTCAGCATTGACATTCAGATGTCCTGAGACCCACCTACAGCACCAGGTCACCCCACGTCCACTGCCTGAGGGCATAGGTTTCTATACGACTCCTGAACTGCTAATCCCTGCTAATCCCCTGTTCCGCCGCTACGCATAAGGGTCTTTTTCCGCTCTCCTGCCTCTCCACAGTTCGTTCCTTACGACATCCGTGACAATATCAGCTTATAGAAATACACATTTGAAGAAGGCCACTCAAATTAAGTGTGGTGTTTTTGTGCCCTTGATAAAATAAAGAAAACATTTAATCACCAGCAAGAAGGGGGTGGTATGCCAATTTACCTTTATATACTCTCCTGTAGTGATTAGCCAGTTTAATGAGGTATTTATGTAGCATCTTTTATCCCAAAGAATCAGAGTGCTTTACACACAGGAGGGAAATCTAATTATCCACCAATGGGTGATGATGGCAGTCATTATGGATCAGCAGAGAAAGTGGAGAATAATAATAAATCCTTACACTTCTATACAGTTTTTCTGGACACTCCACTCAAACAACTTTACAGGTAATGGGGACTCCTCTCCACCACCACCAATGTGCAGCATCCACCTGGATGATGCGACGGCAGCCGTAGTGCTCCAGTACACTCACCACACACCAGCTATTAGTGGGGAGGAGAGCAGAATGATGAAGCCAGTTCATAAATGAGAATTATAAGGAGGCCATGATTGGGAAAGGCCAGGGGGAAATTTAATGATAAATGTCTTGGGGAGAAATAGAAAAAGTTGTCAAAGAACAATTTAACTTTCTAAAACTTTTTTTTAATCTGTAACAAAAATAATATGGAGAAGTGGCCTTAAGGCTGAGACTGTTATTTGTTTATATGCATTATATGCTTAAAAATGTGGTCATTTTTCTACATGAGCAAAGAAGCACCTGAGAACAGATGCCTGTTTTTCTCTGTCACCATCTGAAACTCAGACCTTTTGGCAATCATGTAAGATACTTTCAGAAGGTCTTCTCGAACTGACCTTCTTCATGAAAAAAAATCTTAATTTTTTATTAAGGTACCTATTCTTTTGGAATAGGAACAGGCATGAATAATGTTAACACAATTCTGTATTTTTTGTCAGTTTTATTAATTTAATTTCCTTTTTAGTGTAACAGAAGAAGTCATGTCAAAAACAGTTTCCCAACTCTACATGCTTATGAAACACTTGAATGGTGGTTTAAAAAGTTACATCTTGGGCCAAGTACAAAAACAGAGTAAGAGTTAGCACAGGGACCTGAAAGTATGTAACTCGGGGTTTTCCTCCGGACAAAAGTAAAATGATCAGGTGTGGCTGAGGGGTCCAGAAAAACAAAGTTCACACAGAATGAAGTTGATTTCGCTGCTTAAGTATTCTTCCGCGAAAACATGTTTCTTATTTTTTCCTTGTTAGGAGACTGTGTTAGAAGGGCTGTAGCATGTATATTGGCGGGGAGGCTTGAAGTCATAATATAACCCTTGATATAATATCTATAGTATCTGTAACTAATAAAATTGTACAACATTGGGTTGTGGGGGTTCCACTCTTTGCCACCAGAGGGCAGAAGACCGCATGAAATTTCTAGTTAAAAGCACAAAATACTAAATCCTGAAAGACTATTTTTACAGCCTTTAGTTTTTAAACTGACACATTCGGTTCAGAGAAATAATTGTTAAGAGAAAGAAATTAAGTTGTGCTACACTATTTATTGTTTTAGCATTACTGTCACAAACCAAAATATTTTACAGGAATGTTTCGGTTGTTTCGGTTTTCTCGGATATGAGCAAATTATCGTGTTTCTTCTTTCTACTGTTCATTTAGAAATTAACCTTTACTTCTTCCTTTGAGCTTAACGCACACTGACTGTTCCCCCTTCGAACATATGCATGATAACAATACAGATATTCCCCCTAGTTTTCCCTTCTAGCGGCGGCAGTATAGGAAGAGATGCAGGAGAAGGTAACTGCACCTCAGTGATTTAATTTCGCCTTCTGACCGACGAAGGCGTGCTAATCACTGAGAGGAGGTTTAGGAAGCAGGGCATGGAGAGGAGTAACGGCTGCCGCTGCTTATTTTGGAGTAAGGCGAAAGAGGGAGAGAGGGAGAGAGGGGGGCGTTTTTGTAAAGGCAGGGAGAGGGGAAAGGAGGACTCAAGGTCAGGGTTCAGTGGCACCTAGACACAGCGATAGCAGGGTGTTACACTGCCCCCTACCCAGCTCCCTCGCACCTGGTAAAGTGTGTGGGGGCGGGCTGGGTGCTGGGATATTGCAGCTGTGGACCGGGCCCAGACGATTGGGAAAACGGTAGAAGGCGAGGCGTCTCCTCCTGCGATAGGGCTTTGGGCTGAAGGCAACGGTGCACCTCTCTTGGTGGCTGGAAAGGTTGTTCCTCAAGGCCGCTTGCCACAGCTCTGCGGATACCCCTCGGCCCAGATGGATAGCGTTCTCTGGGCCCGCTGTCATCTCAGGGTCGTCTGGGCTGCAGGCAGTGGGCCGCTGTAGGCTGACACGACTGCTTTTAAAGAAGCGCAGCGCATCGTAAGGCTCTGCTTCCTGTCTTTTCACAGCACTGTACTCCTGGAGCTCGTCCGCCCACCGGGCAGCCTGTCCCTCCGGGTCACTGAAGGACGTAAACCGGCGCAGCGCAGGTTGCTCAGTGCGGATGGTGAACGGGAGACCACACAGGTGGTGCCTGAAGGGCTCCACCACGTCAGTAACACGATAGTGGCGTTCTGCTTTGGTATGACTCCGTTCACTCCAAATAAATGCTCATGATTTTCTTCAAACGCAATTCATGAACCAAACATTGTGTTATACGAAGGCTGATGAAGGACTATGCCAGTGAAACAAATCATGTTCGTTAAATCCGTTGTTATAAAACGGATTAAATGAAACACATTTGAGGAAGACGAGTACAGATGTATGTACTATCAAACAATCGACAGGACATTGGTTAAATATAATAGTATATTTTTGGAAATAGTTATTCGAAGGTAATACTAAATGTTTTTTCCCCCCAAAATAATGATACTGATTTAGTTGTTAACGTGGAAGTTCTTTCTCTAAAGTGCCATGTTACCTTATCAATATAACACCTGGACAAATTGCAAAAGTTTTTCAAACATGGAACTTGAAAGCATGCATTCAAAGACTTCAGCGTGGTAAGTATCTTTAATTTTGTATATTTAAAGAGCTCAATTCACATTAAACTCTTGGGAGCACTTACAAATGATAGGAGGCTATACGATATATCTAGTCTATTTGGTAGTTAGGTGTGAACTAAGCTCTGCCTTTTCTTAAAAGAAGTCAGGGTATCAGCTTCAACATGACTGTGTAGCTACAACCCTTTGGGTAAAGAAGCACCCACTCGTCTTGGTTTTAAACATATTTCCATGTAGTGTATCCACTTGAGTCCTCTAGTTTGTGTTTCACTGTTAATTCTGAAGTTCACTGCTTTGACTTTGCCAGTGCCTTTGAGGCTTTTGGATACTTCAATCAGGTTGCCTTATAGTCTATAGTTCAAGATTAAAAAAAAAAGTTAATCTCACTTAGCCGAGGTCTATTTGAAGTAAAATAAGTACAAAAATTAGAAAGAAGTCTCTACCCATTACCCACAGCCACATTTGGAAGCTGTGCTGGTCAGTGCAGAATGTGTACCGGTATGTGTTGAAATTGCTGTGTCACATCATACTGTCCACAAACATGTATACATTAATGACAGTAGTAAAGTCTGGATAAATGTCTGTTTTGCTGTTTAAATATATTTGCTATTTTCCTATTTACTCTCATTCCAAAATATTTAAATCCTGATTATTTCGAGGGGAAGCTGTGAGTGGTAACTGTAATCTCAGCTACTTTTCTTATCTACCAGTTAAATGACCATCCATTTTCAATAACCACTTATTCCAGCAAACATATTTGAGGTGAGCTGAAACCTAGCCCAGCCACCAATGGGCTTAAGACATGCAAACATACACATACTTGCATGTCTTTGGAGAGGGGTATCATCCAAACTCCACATAGAAATATACCCTTAAAGTACATCTGTTTATGATTGTAGGTAGATATCTGTTCTAAATGATTAAGGACCACTGCTGTATATAATAAATGTGCGTTTGTGTTTAATAACAAATCTGTGTTAAACCAATCAAATATCATTAACATACAAAATTTGACTTGCCCTTTATCTGAGTGGTTCGGTTTCTGAAGCTCTGGCCTGTCATAAAACAACTGAGGTTAGACTACATCCCCCATGATGCTTTGGCATTAAACCATCAGTTTGCGTCATTTTCTCACACGCCCAATCAGATGTGCAGTCATGGGATGCGTCACATAGAATGACCTCCGGCGGGGAGACGTGATTTTTTTTTTCCTTGAGCTGCTGGTGAAGACGGCGCCATATTGAAAGGCTAAAATTCTTTTACTAAAAGCCTAAAACATACGTTTGAGCCAAAATGCTGTACTTAGAGGACTACCTGGAAAGTGAGTATGGTATTTTGTAAGCGAATTTCGTGTTGGTTAAGGATCATTTAACGTGCGGGATGTGCAGGTGTTGTGTCGTGTAGCTCCCAGACGGCTAGCTAATTTTTTTTTATTCTTCTCTTTGGCAGTGATCGAGCAGCTTCCCATGGATCTGCGCGACAGGTTTACGGAAATGAGAGAAATGGACCTCCAAGTTCAGAGTACGCATTCGCTACAACGTGACCAAGTCCAATACTTGCCTAGCTAATTCATGGCCGTTTTCTCATTTCAGAGTGCTTATTTTTGGTATAGATGGGGCTGTATATTGATCTTTGATCAGATTAGATACAAGACTACGAATATTTACATTTTCCTGAAGATTTCACAGCTTTATTAGCTTAAAATGCACTATTCTGTCTACATCAATCTGCATTGTTTACTTCATTTATCCAGGCAGTGCTCCGTTTATCGGTCACTCATGATGGTAACACTTTCTATTTTGTATTCCGCACACTGTGTTTAAGCATCTTAAAGTGTATTTCAGTGCTGTTGTCCAAGAATAGTGCTTCAGACCTGCTTAGAAGATCGTCGTAGCAGAAGCAGATGAAATCTTGCCAAGGAGTTGGAGGAGGAACGTTTCAGCCTGAACAGAATAGAATGAAGGGGCAGAGGGCACATATCTGGGTTGTTACAGGAAACCCTTCACCAGTGCCGTTACCAAGACTTATATAGGCTTTTATTTGTTTCATTGTCCGGGTGATTCCAAATGCCGTTGTTAGTTTTGGCTTGGTAACATGATGGGGAAGTGAAAGACGAGATGAATTTCAAGAGCCGTGTGTGCGGCCTACCGTGAGAAATGGGATGGACCGTTATCGGAAGTCTTTACCGTTTTACATTTTGGTGATGAGAGAGGAGTGAACGAGTGAAGTCCCTAATGCAGCCACACGTGTGACATTAAATATGTCTTAACAGAATATTGTATTGCAAAGGTATCTTGGATTATATGTAAATTACAGCGGAGCTACTTTCTATTAACTATTCTTATTCCTCCTAATATCTAAAATATATATAAAAAATCATTGCCTCAGAATTGTTGCAAATTTGTCACTCACTCCTTGTGTATATGTACTGTATGCCTTTACAGTTTATATGTCTGCCATCTCCCCAAAATAATCCCTTCAACTTTAGACATCCCTGTGCTGATGAACCGTATGAAATCAACCAGCTTTTTAAAGTATTGCCTAAAGAGATTTTCAGACACAGAAGAGTCCTTAGCAGATTGGCTTTATTGTGCAGACAGACATACAGTATGCAGTCTACAAGCCATTTACAATGTAATTTTTTTTATTTTTTCAGAGATAAGAGATAACCATTATTAGAAGTGGAATAAACGCTCAATCATTGCACCAAGCTAGAGAGCAGGCATTTTGTGTTGAGTTTGAAATTTAATTTGTAAAACCATTATAGCCATTTAAAGAAACCTGTACTTGCATTGTGTTCATAGATATATTTTTGCCTTAAATGGAAATTGCTGCTCTTTTGATATGTACTTTTATACACTGACCATTTTCAGTACTCTGGACTCTTGAGTGTGAGTCATGTTTTCTAATGTTTACAGACATTTCAGTTATGGAATTAAAATTCAAATGCATGTTGTGAACAGTATTTAGCTTTAAAGTAAATGAGACCTACAAAATAAGGTCTAGCGAATCTGTTACATATGTTGTTGGAAAGGCTCTCAACCTGTCTTTTTATCCTCCTAATCTGAGGGATTCATTTGTTTTTTGTTGTAGATGCCATGGATCAGCTGGAACAGAGGGTGAATGAATTTTTTATCAATGCAAAGAAGAACAAGCCAGAATGGAGGGAGGAACAAATGGAAGCAATAAAAAAAGTGAGATTAATCGTACACTGCTTTTTTTGTAACTGCATTCAGCATTTCAAGCATTTGATTTGAACTCTTAAGTGTTTTCAAGCTTTTCAATTCTAGATAAATAAAATGTTTTGGCTTCCATTTTTTGCTTTTATATGATCATCAATTTAGTCATTTGCTCCTTTTGCCCAGACAGCCCACGAGTCTTAAGAACAAACTATTCCATGCTTTGCCAAATTATTTTTAATCCAGCCGAAATTTTCTAACCTGTCCGTTATCAGGATCAGGATCTTTTATAAGATCAGTCTTAAAACAATAATATGGACATTTTACATGTTTTTATTCAGAATTAATCCTAACTACTGTGTCTACATGATGCATTGTGTACTCTCATCACTGACACATCGTTTCCCAGGTTGACCCTTCTGGTATAAGGCTGAACACAGAGCATAGGTCACTTCCAGCACCACTTTCTTCTACTGCTCTGAAAAACATATTTTGAGCTCTTTACACCAGATTATGCATTGCTGTGTATTGGCCTTGGTTACTAGCTGTTTCCAAATGGCAACATTGTGAATCTCTCGCCACAGTTTTTGTTTAGACTGGGTCACAGAGGTGTAGATTCAGTTCTGTGGTCATTTTTGAGGCCATCATATTGTAGTGGTTAGCAAGTGTCTTTGACTTGCAGCCTCTGTTCCTCTTTCCTGATGCTGTTTTCTCTTGTTTGGTGTATGCTGCCATGCATTTCCAAACTATTCCCCTTGACATACTAAGTAGTGTAGCTGTTTCTGTGCACCTACAGTTTGGGTACCAACTACTTGACCTCTTTCATTGCTGTTAGATCTCTAAAGTTGCTTTAGTACCTCACATATTAGAAGTGTTGATTTTAAAATGTCCTAACAGCAGAAATATATTGGTAACTAGTACTGAAATTAATATGAAGCTTTTGTAGAATCATTTTTAATTGTGATTTAGTTGCTTAAAAATAGGTTACAGCCATAGTGGGGAGTTAGTAGTAGCCCAGATTGATCTAGATTCTGCAAGAGCTAGACGGATAACCAGCCAGTGGCTAGGTTGACTCTTTAAAAGATGGTTTTCCCTGTACATCTCTAGGAAAGCCTTATCGTGGTTGACCAATGGAATATAATAACAGGGCTGACCCAATGGAGTCTCCAACTTAAGAATTGATTGTTTTTCAATTGGTTGTTTAGGAGGTGATTTGTTTTTCAGATTTGTACCAGATATAACCGAATTACAAGGTTAAGTTCCAAAGTAACTAACGTGAGACAAATCTTATTTTCACAAAGTAGATAGTGTAAATTTGTAATTTATATATATATATAAAAATATTTCCAAATTTGAAGACAAAATTTACAAGCAGTTGAAAGGAAAACTCAATGAGCTTTACATATGTCTTGTCAGGCTGCGATCTTGCTGGTCAAATTGAAGCAATATGCACTGACAACACATGAAAAATTACTTTGGGTATGAGTAAAACCAAATTTGAAAGTAATCTTTTGTGGTGCATGTTCTTTGCATCATAATGTCAATATGCCCTACAAATTGCTTCAACTGACAGCACACTGTGCCATAAATATTTTTAATGTGGCCTGCAACCAGGCACAAGAGAAGTAGGTGTAATTATGTATTTCTTATGTAAAATTTACTGGAAGTTTGGAAGGGATGTCCCTCACCTGTACAACTCTTAACTCCTGAAACTTTCCTGAAAAAATGACAAATATCATAGTCGATCTGCCCCTCACTGTTGTTCGCATTCATCTTTCTGGATCCCTCCACTACCTCATCTCCACTGTTGCAGCTACTCCTTGGTTAACATCTCTCCGTTTATGGGGATCCTAACTTCCTCACCCTATGCCAGTTGGTTGTCTCTCTGCCTAGCAGGTTAAGTCAAAGTTTCTTATGCATTAGGAACAATAGTTATCTGGATAGAAATTGGCCCAATTATAGTTGGGGCTATAGCTCTTGAAGCCAGTAGAAACCAGGATTGAAATGCAGCATGCTAGGGATGTAATTTCTTACTCTCTTACCATGGTTGATATCCACTGTTGTACTGCTTTAAGAAAACCTCAATTTTGAGGTAAAAATCTGGTCTGTTTTAATTCAGTTCAGTTTCTCTACATTTGGCATTAGATTGTTGCTTTTACTTTATTGGAAAACCATGAGCCCTGTATAGTTTAGATAAGACTTTATTAATCCCGAAGGGTTTGTTGCCATTTGTCACAACAGTTGTGCGTTAATTTGCTTTGTTGCTACAATACTACAGAAGCTGACACTGTTCCTGGAATAAAAATGGAAAACCATTTATTTTAGATCAGAAGAGAAGTATTCCTTTTTAGGGGACATACTTCTCTTTAATATCAATTTATTTTCAAATGTAAGTGCAGTGTTGATATATTTGGCATTACACGTGTTTCTTTTCTCCATTAGAGGGGACCTAAAGTACGGGCAGAGACATTTTCCACACAGAAAATGGAAATAGAATATATTGGAATTATTTTATTAAATGAAGACTTAGTCTTTAAAATGGTTAAGATTTTATCCAATGGATTATGTTCCATCAAATCAAAAGAGATTACAATCAGGCATATTAAAACTGAAGTTTTGAGAATAATTGAGTGTTTTCTCAGTTATAAAGTCGGTGCCTACTTCCGTTCATTAAAATGTCATAGCTGTCAAACTAGAGCTGGAATGGGCAATCCAGGTTCTAGAGGACCAGCGCAGGTTTCCTAGGTCTCTTTAGGGCACCAGCACCTGAAAAGCTAGAAGAAGCTGTAAAACTGGCCCATTAAGACAGTTTAAGCTTGTTAAGAGTCGAGCTGAAATGAAAATCTGCTAACACTTTGCAGACTTCTCTAGTCCTGGACTGCCCATCCATGAACTAGAAAATATACATAAGAGCACACCTCAGAAATTTTAATGTTACTATGAGAGAGAGATGATAAAGATCTCCTTTGTATTTAAATTGTTATACAAATATCATATTATTTAAAGCCTCCACTTAAAAGACTCAAATGTGAACCAGTGAACCTCCTGAGCTAGACAGCAGAAGCCAGGTGTCCAGCTGGGAAGTGCTGTTATGTTTCAGTCCTTATTATATTGTTTTTATAAACTACCTGGATTTGGTGTCTGGCACTTTCTGGAAAGGAAGTAGGCTCAGTTGTTTTCCTTGGCAGTCTTTTTTCTTTCTGTACTTGACTTTTTCCTCTTTTCCTTGCCTCACCCTTCCTAACTTCCTATTCATTTCCCATTTCAGGATTATTACAAAGCCCTGGAAGATGCAGATGAGAAAGTTCAATTAGCAAATCAGATTTATGACTTGGTAAGTAGGACTATGACATTTGGAAACACAAACTCCCAGGTTTAGCTCCACTTCAGTTGTAGTTTTTTTTGTATATCTGTCAGTCTCGGCTTATGATTTTCTCCCCGTTAAAGTACTTTTTTTATTAAGTTACTTTGAACTAAATGTCTTGAATCTGGACTGTTTGCATTTAATTTCTCGTGCCACTAGATGGCAGTGAAACCTTAACATTATTGTTTATTGTGTAGAATAAATGTTCTGTGTGCTTCTTGAACTTCGGCTACATCACAATGCAGTGTGAAGAGCTGTTGGGTGTATGACAATTCTGTGCATGTTCATGACCATAATGTCACCTGTTTGGCTTGTGTATCTGAATTTGTGTTTCATTTTTACAGTAGTACCACTTACGTTAGAGTATAATTTACTTTTTTCATATTTCATAATGATGGTATTTAATATTTTGGAATAATTACTAAGGTAATATCTAGTTGGGGCAGCTCAGTGGATAGCACCGCTGCTTTGAAGCGCTGGGGTCCTGGGTTAAATACTGGACCTGGGGTGTTGTCTGTGTGGAGTTTGTATGTTCTCCCTGCGTTCACATGGATGTCTTCTGGGTGTTCCAGTTTTCTCCTACAGTTAAAAAAAATATAGGTTGGTTAATTGGCTTTTGGAGAAATTGGTCCTGGTGTGTGCGTGTCCGTGTGTGTGTGCATGGTGTGCAGGTGTGTGCACGTCTGTGTACATCCTACAGTAAACTGTTGTCCCTGTCCTGGGTATATCCCTGTGACCATTGTTTGCCAAGATAGGTTCCGGCTCCCCCGCAGCCCTGCATCGGAGTATAGAAATGTATAGAAAATGGATTGATGGAATATCTAGGTGAATCACAATATTTAAAGCAAGTGGGTCCACACAGGTGTGGCTCCTGAGTTAATTAAGCTATTAACATCCCATCATGTTTAGAATCATGTGTAAAATTGCTCGACAGCCCCAGTTGCTCATCAATTTGGCTACCATGGCTAGAAGAGACCTCAGGGACACAGGGGGGGTTGTTGGGGCATGTTTGGCAGGAGCTTTAGGAAGATCGCTCAACTTTCCGATGTTTCACGAGGAACAGTGGCTAAGGTGATGTTGGCATGGAGGGAAAGATGTCAACTAGTGGCAACTGTGGACGAAAGCACATACTCCATAACAGATTTCTGTGCATTGGTTCAAGATGCAAGGTAAAATGGACAAGGAGCTGTGAATCAGTTGACTGAAAAAGTCAGTCTAAGGTATGAGCAGGCAGTTTCATCAAGTACAGTCAGTTGAGAACTTCACAGAGAGGGATGCTATGGTCAGGTCAGTACATAAACCCCTTATTACACCTAAAAATGCAATTCTGTGAATAAAGTGGTACAGACAGGCAGTAGTTTACTGAGCAGTGGAATAAATGGTCAGCTGAGTCATCTTTCTCAACCCTTTTCTCAACAAGCAGACCAGTACATGTATGGTGCACGCCCAAAGAAAACTACAGGCTCAAATGCTTGCTTTCCATGGTAAAGGGTTCTGGGAGCTCTGTTACAGTGTGGGGTGCAATTTTCTAGGCATGGTTTATGTCCATTCAGGTCATTGTAGGGCAAGAAAAATGGCATTAGATAAAAAGTCATTCTGAGTGATCATCTTCATCCTATGGTGAAATATTTCTATCCTGGCGGGAGTGGAATCTTCCAGGGTGACAGTGCCCCATCCACAGGGCACAAGTCACTCAATAGTTTGATGAGCATGTAAAAGATGTAAGCCATATACCATGGCCATCCCAGTCTCCAGATCTTAACCCACTTGAACACTTATCTGAAATTCTGGAGCAATCCTGAGACAGCATTTTCCTCCACCATTAAAAAAACACCAACTGATGGAATTTTTCTTGGAAGAATGGTGTTGCATCCCTCCAGTACAGTTCCAGACACTTCATATAATCTATACCAAGGCGCATTGAAGCTGTTCTGGTTTTCACTAATGATGGCCCAAAGCCCTATCAAGACACCTTATGTTGGTGTCTCCAATATTTTAGCATTTACTGTACCTGTCATTTGCTAACGTCAGAAAATCAGGCCATCTGTTTGCATTCATGGGAAATATTGTGACAGTACTGTCCATAGGCAAATGTGACAGTTTAAATTAAAATGTCAGTTTTTTTACATAGCACAAGTTAGTACTGTTAGTGAAATTAATGTTTTGGTGCACCAAGCTGTTTGCTGGTGTGTCTAAAAGTTCTACAGATCTTAAACGGTCCCTAACCAAACCCAGATGATGTATTGCTTTGGAAATAGATTTCAGGCACATTAACAATTTTTCAAGCCTGGTTTGTACGTAATTTTCCAATACACAGTAATTTTGTTTTAGAATAAGAGTGCAAAGTAATATGCAAGAAGAGTACGGTAAGTTAATTCTTCTGTTTTCTTAAATCAGGTTGACAGGCATCTAAGAAAACTGGACCAAGAGCTTGCCAAATTTAAAATGGAATTGGAAGCAGATAATGCTGGTATTACAGAGATTTTAGAAAGACGTAAGTGTCCTTTACTTTTAATATCACTGTTGTCTGTAGCTGTTATTGAGCTTATGCCCTGGCTGCTTTTGTGCTATCTTGAGAATACAATATAGATGTGTTCAGATACCTTATAGATTTTGAGATACTTTACAATTGTCATTGAATTTAATGTTACATATGTCTAAGTTACATAGATAAAGATTGTGGATTATTTATATTTTAATGTCCATTTCACTGAATTGCGTTTTATGGTTTTTACTACTTAGTATAATACATGCTAGCAAAATTCTTACTTTCTAGCCTGATCTCATTAGAACAGAAGCTAAGAAAGGCTGGGCCTTGTTGGTACTGTAATGGGAAACCACTGAGGGAAGGTTTCTGTTATAAGTGGTGCTCATGGAGCAGTAGGGGGCACACTTCATTCATGACCAGAATTACATAATATATACCAGTGTGATGACAGAGGACACTGGTGTAGGAAGTGCTGCCTTTTGAAAAAGACATTAAACTGAGTTTGCGATTACTGCCAATCATTTAGATACCCCCCAAAATATATTTTTTTATATGACTGGCTTAGGCATATCATATTTCCCAGGCAGAAAAGTTTTTTTCTAGCCATATACAATTTACAGCAGCTCTCGGAAATTGCTTTAGTGTTCAAGATAACTAACTTTTTAGATCACAGATTCTTTGTAGTAGTTCGTTAATGAATGCCTATCTTGGAAATAATCATGCAGACTTTACAGCTGTAACGCCAGAACTCCAAATGTTTCCAGTGATGCTGTACATGGGGAACTAGTTAAAGAAGAAAATGTCTTAGCTTGTTCAGGTGTATCAGCTTGACTTAATGAATATAGTAATGCAAATGAATTACGTCAATTTAATTGACAAAGGAAGCTGTAAATTAAGTCTCTATGGAAAACTTAGTAATCACCACAGATGTCTCACTGTGCCATTTCAGCTGTTACTACTTGTCTGATTGCAAAACTTTTTCTATAGACAGAAAAATATATAAATATAAAATGGCGTGTCACAGCAAACTTTGTTTTTTACTCAATTTTTAAGCATAAATCCTGTTCCTGTTGGATTTTACTACTCTGTTTTGAAAGAATTTTTATGTTGCAGTGAGAGATGAGCTTTATGAGAAAGAAGAATATGAGGTTTAGTATGCCCTTGGCTTTGTTAGGTTATATTGAACTGCTGGGAGTTATGTTCTGTTAACGATGAGACTTAATTTCTGTTGTTGACGTGGAGTTTTCTTCTACTAAGGAACCTACTAATGTATGTACTGCTGTATTTCATTCAGTGCTTTCTCCTTCCCATAATGAACTTGTGCTGGTCAGTGCTGTCTTCTCTATTGTATGATTCTGTTCGGTCCTCTCCATGAAGTGGTTAATAGCATTTAAAAAGCTATCAGTAGGTTTTATTCTTGTTCATTACTCTTTTGAGACACGAATGTTTCAATTTGACTTTTAGTTATCTTTTGCTTCTTTCAGGTTCTCTTGAGATGGACAGTCCATCACAACCTGTGAACAATCATCATGCGCACTCACACGCTTCAGTAGAAAGTAAGTCATGATTCTTATACCAGTGAATTACATTTGCGTACTCAGTAGCATGCTCTAACAATTTTGGGTCAAAATATTTTAGAAAGAAAATACATTACACCTGCTCATCATACAACCGAACACGTTCCTGAAAAGAAATTCAAATCTGAGGCTCTTCTTTCTACACTTACTTCAGACGCTTCTAAAGAAAACACACCAGGTAAAGAATTTTTTGCTGTTTTAAAGTTTTTCACAAGGAAGATAAATGACTGTGATATACTTTGCCGTGTATTTTGTAAATAGTAGAAATTATGATGGCTTTATCCAATGTTGACAGTATTCAAAAAAGAGGTAATCCCTCTCCACATTTCAGTATCGCCCGTTTATTCAGATATTACAAGTGGAATAAGTAATGTCAGAAAATACACTAATAGACTTTATGTAATGGATTATTCTTGTTCATATCCTCTTGTCCTCACCACAGGATGCAGAAACAGCAATTTGTCATCCTCTTCTAACAACGTGTACAGTGTGAACCCCTCTCAGCCCTTGGCATCTTACAATCTAACCTCACTGCCTTCCGGAGCTGGGGCTGGGGCTGGCGCCATTACCATGGCAGCTGCCCAGGCAGTGCAAGCAACAGCACAGGTAATAAGCTGCAACCTACTGCTGCTGTACTCACCTGTGATTAAATAACAGCCCTGTGCCATTGGTCCTGGTGAGAGTCGGCATTACCTATTAATATCCGTCAGTCTGCCAATATATGTGTTAAACACTTTGCTGCTCTGAATCCAGTTCCTCTTTTTGCAATTAATAATATTTCATATTGTATGTTTAACACAGAACTGTTGAAGGTAATTTTTTTTATTGCTCTCATTTGAAATAACATTTTCTTACCATGGGTCCTATATTTTTTTTCTTTCTTGACATGGTGGTGTTTTTGCATTGGGAAATTTAATTCAAAATTTGGAGGCTCTGTTTAGCAGTACAATATATAATTTTTGGTAAAATGAAAAATGTGTGATTGTATGAAACCCACAGTATCCTTCAACTGCATAAAATGCACGTTACAGGGTTTTTCAGAAATAACTGCACAAATGTAGAGTGTGCATTTTAGCACAATTATTTTTATTTTTGTAAGTACAGATTGTTTAATGACTAGATGTGTCTTCAGAAAAGTTTCGAATAACATTTTTTGCAACATTTCCCAGATGAAAGAAGGCAGAAGAACGTCCAGTTTGAAGGCTAGCTATGAAGCTATTAAAAACAACGACTTCCAACTTGGTAGAGAATTTTCTTTAACAAGAGAGCCAACAGGGTATTCGTCATCAGCTTTGGCATCTACACTTACACAGACGTTGACTTCTTCCACATCTGACTCGAGAAGCGGGCGGAAAAATAAGTAAGCTTGGTCGATAGTTGAGCATCATGAGTACTTTTCTCAAACAGGCAGTTTTGAACAAAAACTTATAGAATCATTTATGAAAGGCTAATAGATACAACTGTTCATCAGATGTGTTAGTCACTGCATCTTTCTTTACCTAATTATCTGTTCAACATTTTGAGCTGAGCATTGAAAGTGACTTCCTTTGCCAGATAAGAAAATGCATAAAAGAAATGGTGATGTACACCTGTAGTTTATTTGCATAAGCTAAGGAGAGAAAAGTCAGTGTTGGAACAGAGCTAATTAAAATTGATTGGTGAAAAGCCCCTGCTGTGAAAGAGGAATGCAGCTCCTGCTGGCGGTTGGGTCTTATTTGCTTATTTTCCATGACAGATGGGATTGGTTAAGATTTTTATTTTAAGAATGTTTTGTTTAAACATGTGATGACTTGCTTGCTTTTGTAAAAAACAAAAGATGTTAATTATCTTTCACTGTGAATCCCATGGAGCCATGCCTCTGTAAATGGATAAAAGCAGTGTTCACAGCTGGGACTGTTATCTTGTGGGTCTGAACTTAAGCACAACGCAATTGTGAAATGTAAAAGCATTTCCAGAGTGTTTACACAACATTGTGTAAGTTGAAGTTCTTGCTACAGACTTTTTATGTAAAAGGTACAGTGTTGCTGCACTGTTCTCATAAATTACCTGTTATTTGCAATCTTAATTTCTTGGTTTTGCATCATAAATCGCCAAAAAGCAGATATAATGGTCCTGATTGCTTTTTATGAACCAGTATTAATAGTAACAAATGAGTGATATTGCATTTTACACTTTAGAACACAAAGCTTAATCCAAGAAAGGTACAGGAATATTCAAGGAAACCTTGATTTGTTTGAATCAAACTCATTCTTAACAGGATTTATGTTCCTATTCCTGGGTTGGAACGTTTAACAACACAGTTAATTTTGCATGCAACTCTTATTTTACAGAAGCAGTACAAAGTCGTCAAACCACCAATCTTCATCCTCCTCCTCCTCTTCCTCCCTCTCCTCTTGCTCGTCATCCTCCGCTCTGGCACAGGAACTGTCCCAGCAAGCCTCCACACTCCCAGAGTCCGATTCTAACAACCAGGTCGACTGGACATATGACCCCAATGAACCCCGCTATTGTATTTGTAATCAGGTACGTTTGTGGTTGGAAAGGACACCACACTACATTGGGTCTACAGTTTATTATGGTTTCAGAATAGGTTAAAAGTACTCGGTGAACTGTTCTTTAGAAAAATAGAACATTTACAAAAGAAAGTGTATTTTCTTTGGATAGGTTTAATTTCTGTTAAATAAAATATGAAGTGATTTTCTTTCATCCATTTCCTTCCAAAATCTGTCCTTAACCTTGTGTGGAACTGAATTACAAGATATTGGGTATTTGTATAGCAAGCAAACAATTGTGATTATTTTTTTCACTAGGTAAAGTTCAGTGAAATTGTTTTGTATATTGTGTTTTACGTTATAAAAGACAGTCTGTTTTATCTGTTTTATTTGCACTTCTGTCTCTAGGTGTCTTATGGAGAGATGGTGGGCTGTGATAATCAAGATGTAAGTATCTCATTTAGAGTAGTTTTTTGTACTACTGTGTTTATATAGCCTCTGGCCTTTAACATTTCCCCTCTATTTTACATTGTTTTATAAGAAATTACAACAAATGTATGGTGTTGTTCTTGATTAAATTTAGTTAAATGCACAAATATAAAGAGTAAAGTATATATTTGAAGTGATTCAGTCTTTAAGATTATGTATGTTACTTTTCACAGTGCCCTATAGAGTGGTTCCATTATGGATGTGTTGGATTGACAGAAGCTCCTAAAGGAAAATGGTACTGTCCTCAGTGTACTGCTGCTATGAAGAGGAGAGGTAGCCGACATAAATAGATGGCTCTATTCAGGTGACCAGAGATAAAGCAGTGTCTTAAGGACCTAAATTCCATTTGTCATTGACTTTTTTCTGAACATTTGTGCTGTTCTTTTTTATGCAACATTTTATACATGCTGCACTGCCCCAGAATAATTAGTTGTTTTTTGTGTTAAAAGTCCATAATGGTAATTTCATGTATCAGTCTAAAAGTGTACTACTCCAGATAAATTGAATTCTCAAAAGTATGCAAGTGTTTCAATAAATAAGCAACAACAGCTCTCATGATAATGCTTTTATTTGGTACATACTGTATCACTGCGCCTCATAAGTCTCTAAACCGATTTATACAGGTCTGCCACCCTGACACTAATGTATGGAATCTGATGTTGTAAAAGCTGTGTCAGGCTCCTGGAGCCAACACTTAAATGCCTACTGCACTTTACTGTAGGTTGTAAATCTTGTGTTGGCTGAGGCTTTATTTAAAGGACTGTAGAGACGGAAATAACTGGGTGCTAGATCAGGCCTGTGATGTGGGTGGTCCGGGCCCTCGCACCTGTAACACTGTGAAACACACACACTGGTGCAACTGATGGCATGTAGTCTGATTTTGCCTTGCAGCACCAATGATGTGCAGAAGTGGCAACCAGATTGTATTGGATGAATAGCCTCTCATGTCCAGTCCAGCATGTGACAGGAGCATTCTGTGCTTGTACACATTCGGAAAATTCCCGTCAGTTTTAAACTAGTAATTGTCGCCATGGAAGAGCAGCACTCTTCCCCTGTGGCTCATTCTGTATCTGAAGACGGTGTTATGGTACTGTACCTATTCAAACCCTCCGTAGCAAAATATGCCATAGGAACATCAGCCACAGCTGAACAAGGCTTCACAACCAAAACATTTTTTCTTCTTTTTACATTTCTGCATAGCATTAACCTCTGCTTGTTCCTTTGCAGCACAAACACTGACATCCCTCCTCATTCTAGACAGTGTAGAAAATTATTTATTACTTTAATTTGGGAAACACCCTTGTATGTAAAAGACATTCCACAGTTCATTTACCATATAAATGAAACTCTTGGCAGCATGTAGTGTATTTTGTATCTATTGTATGAAATAAATACTCAAAGAAAGTTTGGAAATACACAATGATAAATCAGTATCCATCACCAAATGTGGTTAAAGACTGACTTTAAAGAACATGGAGAGAAGTAATTTAGCTATTACCCAAAATATATTTGAGCTTTTTTAGAAAGCATCAGAATATATCAGCAGGCTGAAGGAAAAAGAAAATGTTCTTTAGATATCTGCAGTTACAATTGTACATTATAGGAACAGTACTTTGTAGTGTGTAAATCTGTGCCATCAGTCTGTCATTTTGCACTAAATATAGTGCTTAATGTATGAGAGATGTTGAAAAAAATAAAATTATCAAATTCTTTTGATAGTATCAAGTTTCCTTTTTTTGTACTATAGAGAACTTCACAGTTGTTTGATTAAACTTTGACTTCTTACTGTATTTTAATTTTTTTTTCTGTTTAATTTAATAGAAGATAAATGGCTCATCATTAATAGTAGAAGAAATTTTTATTTTTACATAGCAAAACTCAACATACAATATTATAAAAAATAACATTACTTTTCCTCATGCTGTAGCTAATCACTGCTATCACGCTTATTCTAAACACTAATCTTTCCTATTGAAGTTGGTAGGCATTCCATGTAACTCGTTCAACTTGCTATGTTTCACCTGCAGGTTGGCTCCCAGTGGCAACCACAACTTATCAGCCATTCTCAGCTGAGTCCTGACAAATCAGGAACCATAAAGAGAAAATTGTTGCAAAAGACTAACGATCCTAAACTGCTTTGCAGAACATGTTACATAATTTTATAATTTAGGGTCCCCAACATCTTCACACTGCCAATCTCAGAAATTGGTTATCTCAGTGCAGCCTTCCATACGTGGAGAGACTCTTACCAATGTGTTCTTATGCCTCCATGAGAAGTGTCTTGCTCACATACTACATGAAAAAGCGCCTGTCCTCAAGTCTTTTAATGCTTGCCCAGTGCAGTGTGTTTCAACGTACATAATGGAAACACCACTTTAGGAATATGAACACGAGGGTCAAAATGGTGTCTTCAAAATAAATTACACATTCATAGATTTGTGAGAAATGAATTAAGTATAGCATTGCTTTAAATATTAAACATGTACACTGGAATGAACAGAAGTTCAGAAGTACATAAAAATGTAATTTTGTATGTCAGAAACGAGTAATACAGTTTATTGGCTCATTTGTTTTGATTTATGAGCCAAAACTTATCACAAATTCAGTTTGTCTTCTAGTTGTATTATTTATTTTAGTTATCCGTTTGAAAATTCATACATAACCAGCAGACGAAGATTCCATCACCTCTAACTTTTTATAAACAGAATAAGAATACTGCTTTGCAGACTTTAATCTGGCTACTGTATTGTCCTTGCCAGAGAATGATAGATGCAGAACTACTTCAAGTAATTTGCTCTGTCAGATACAGATTTACACTATGATCTTTATACCTCCCAGAAAATACAGGCTCAGTAGACATGGATGAATATGAACTACCAGTACAGTCGGGCTGCAATGTCAAATTTGGGGGTTTGATCCACAGAACAGGAATTTACCTTGTTTCAAATTTGAGACAATGGAGGATTCAAAGCTGTACATATTGATCACAGAATGGTTCCCAAGCCAGGCCATTATAATGGGCCATCCATATGCAAACGTAAAGAGGCGGACAGAAATCACTAGGTTACTGTAGTTTGTGCAAGTGTGGAGGAAAACTGTAGCACAGAAGGGCAGTCCATGAGATGTCAATTGAGACACAGTATTGTATTGTTTTACTGAAGGAGTCATAAATGGAACTAATGAGGTTGTTGTTGTATTGTATATTACTGTGGTCTATGGCTGCCCTTTTCTTGTAGAACATTTTGATTATTCACCAGGCCATGGATAAGTTATTTAGGAAGCTGGCCAAATTGGAAAACAAGGCATCATGATTGTATTAGTATTTGAGCTTCATTTATTATGGCAGTATTTGTCTGACATATCAGAAAAAAACTAAGGGGATATTTTTTTTTTGCGTATCTAATCTAAGCTTTCCAGAAGCATTCTTTGTTTTGTAATTTCATTTGCCTTGATAGTGCAATGTCTATTTAAAATAAGATTGACCTCTGTCCAGCAACCTAATTTTATAGATTGTCCAGTGAAATGTTAAGGGTTAGCCAAGCTGCATTTTGTTTAGAGGTGTTCATTGTTGGGCCATTGTATTTTGGCTAACAGTACTTTTTATAGACTTAAAAACAACAGTATTTTTCCTCTTATATTGTATTAACATGCAATGTATTAACATGCAATGAAATCAAGTGGTTTGCAAATGCGTATATTGACAGAAAAAAAAGAACAAAAGTGTACTTTTGAAACTCTTGAAACCAAGTTGAAATGGCGATATAGTATATTACAAAGAAAATCATTGATACAAATCAGTGATGAATACACTATAATCAACATAATATTGTAAATGTTACAAAAATCCTGCAAGCCAATTTTATGTTGTGCAAGATTGAAGAAAATACAGTAGCATGCAAAGCTCAAAATGAATGTGTCTTAGGTCTTCATAGTTTGGACACATGAAGATTACTGATAACATCCAGTGCATCAAGCACAAAGACTCCTATAGTGGCTGTATATATAAATAGGACAGAGCTTCCAAGGATAAATGGGTACAACTCTCGTAAATTAAATTGTTAAAAATGTACAGTATGATCAAATGTAGAACTGGAAAATGGCTAAATTCAAATATAACACCTAGCAAATTCCTTGTATTGGGTTATTTCATTGTCGATGTACAGCATAGCTGATTATTTGGACCAGTAACGGGAAATTCTATTTTTACTTCTTCATTTTTCAATTCTATTTCTAATTCCAGATAAAACATCGACAACCTGCTGGTCTGAAGTGTGTCTCAAACGTTAGCACTCATAATTATCAGAAGTAGTTCAGGTGGGTCCCTGCGTCAGCATGCGTAGGCTGCAAAGGAACAAGTAATAGGTTGATTCCATGCTGAAAAGAGAAGAGGGAAAACGACGATTCGGCTGTGGATCCTTGCAATTTAGTTTAAAAAATAGAAGCTTCTGTTCTGTTATACCACCTCAAGAAAACTTGAAAGTTTTGTGTTTTAAGTCATAGATTATATAGAATTGAAGGGTTAATAAAACGGTCTTCTATGTTTTTGAAAATAATTTGGATTTATATTTTGTCTTGAGTTGCCGAAACTCTGACCGGAATTGTGGATTTACCACTGCGTACGTTATTGGGTTTACAGCCGCTGTCATGCACGCCAATGCAACGGCAAATGTTTCCACTTCTAAAATCTTCTGCACCTAAAGGAGAAAGAAAAGAGCGATCCACACATCCGTTAGAAGTCTGCATACTGTAGTCCAAATTAATTTCATGTTGAAATGAAAATGTTACAGTCGATAACTTCTAATGTTGTTGTACTGACAGTGAGAGGCTGAATGTTTACCCACTAATTAAACCCGCATATAGTTATGTATTTTATAATTGCAGTAAACATTCACACTTTCTTTAAAATATCAAGGCAAGGTAAGATGCTTAATTTTAAATATAATTGTAGTACAGGGTAAGCTGCTTGATTTTTAAATATAATTTTAGTTTAATTCTAGTACAGTGTAGCGTACATATACTGTATACGGTAGTCTAAATTTTGAAGATACGTCTGAATATATTCTATTTTTTAAAATTAACAAAGGTATTTGTAGAAAATTGTTTAAAAACTCGAAAGATTAAAACTTACGGTCCCGGGGTTGTGGAGAGTGAAGGGATTCATAAGCACTGATATAATGAGCGGCATCCAAAAGGCAATAAACGTTATTACAATGTATCCCGAACGTTTTGCAAGCTTGCCTTCTTTGCCAGCCTTAGCTCTTTCTCTGCTGAAAGACGACGGCATCATGCACACTGCACCCGCGACTTCGTCTGCTTGAGGTGCAACAGCAGGTGGGTCTGGAGGATGATCTGAAGGGCCTTCCACTGCAGGTGAGGTTGATAAGCATTGCACCTGTGCAGTTTCCACATGATGTGTTTCGGCGATGCTGACTTTAAAGCCAGTTAATACTGCGACCGGTGCAGGATCCACGCTAACACCTGGCTTGAAAAGGTTGCCCTGCGAATACTCTCCCGTACTTGATGGTAATGATGAAAGGCAGCCCGGTGTAGTTTTCACTGCGTGTGACGTTGGACGTTCCTCGACAGTCTCCTCTGGAATGACAGATATACTTGGTAGAGCCACTGATCGATTTCCTGCAACAGGTAAATCGGAGAAGGCGGCTGCTGATGCTGTATACACTTCAGCGTCAATGGGTACCGATGTCTTCGTGCCTGCTTTAGGATTGACTACCGCAGTTAGTGATGCTTTATTACCTAACCAACGTGTGTCATTATTAGCCTTTGATTTATTTTCCTCTTCAGAATTTGTCTTGTCTGCTAGCTGTTTTCCGTCGATTCTGACATCTTTACCCTTCTTCGCCGGCGGGGGAAGAGAGGAAGTTCCTTTGTCGAAGATTTTCTTGGTGTGAGCTCTCACGACGATAAATATACGGCCGTAGAACCCAATAATGACTGTCAATGAGGCAAACCAAATCGGCACTAGGATGTACAGCCCAAAAGTGTCAAAGGATGTAAGAACTTCCACCCGTATCCCTCTGCACTTCACGTAAACTGGAGTGTCTTCAGCAATTGTGATACAGAAGGATGACACGAGCACTGCTAGGGTCCATGTGAGAGGTATCCATATTTTAACTCTCCTTTTCCTTTGGCTCGTTTTGAAAGGGTGAGCGATAGCCTGGTACCTCTCTGCACTGATACTAGCTAAGGTGAGAAGCTGAACACAGCAGCTGAGCGAAAAAGAAACTGCCTGAGTGTGACAGAGCACGGAACCTAAATCATTAATGTTGTAACCCCATAAAATTATAGCTAGAAGCAAAGGACAATCGATCACACACCTGAGGAGATCGCTTGTTGCAAGATTAACAAGAAGTGCGTTGTTTGATGTTTGTAGTGATCTCTGACGGCACACCGCCCAGATGACCAACACGTTCCCAAAGACACCGGCAAAACAGGTAAAAAGGAGAACAGCGCAATTAGCTATTGCAAACGCAAAATTAAGAGAGCTCTGCGATTTTGTGGAGTTCACATATTCCCACCTCTCATTCGTTGCATTGACTTTCATCTCCAAGTCCTGCAGCTGGAGAAAAAATCCCATGTTGAAAAGGTAGTTGTGTCAGGTTAACTGCGTCTTTTCAAGTTAATACTTTAGTTATAAGTAATGTTAGCTATAGAGTTTTATTTATTTATTGTGGTGTTGTTTATTTAAAATATTTTCTTCTGGGAGGAATGCGGATTTTCCCAAACCCATTTTCCTCAGAAAATCCTGATGAACCCTCCTTTGTTCTTGGATCGTGCTTGATTAAAACCTGTTCATATTGACATCATGACACCTTACTTCCCACAGAGTGTAATACTTTTTTTTAATCAACACTCAGGATCCGTTTACGCCACCTGGGAATCCTAATTTAAAACGAAGGCGACTTCAAGAACAAACGTCCAACAGTCATGATCAGCGAAGTCCCAATTACTATATATACTACCGTTATTAATACCGCTGTTTAAAAAAAAACTAAATGAAATTGGAGACTCAGACCATTTTAGACTTAAAACCCTAAAAATACTTACAGTATATAAACAACGTTTACATTTGTTTGTTTTGTTTGACTCTGCTTTTGTTTTTGGTCTGACTGGAATTGAAAGGGTTTCATAACGTTCTCATATACTTAAACTCATTATTTTAAAAATATATATCCAGAAATTTGCTCCTAGAAACAAGTTAATAGAATTGACAATACACACCGGTTGTAACTGTATAGAGAACTCAGAATCGTAGTACTTCGAAATTTCCACAATAAAGTAGTGCTACAAGTACTACAAGTGAAATGGCTATAACAATTGCATGTTTTTTAACATCATATCTTTTGATCTTAAAATACCGTTAGTTAACTCCGGCAAAGTTAGTTAAATGAAAATGGATGCAGTATGTATCGTTTTTGTGGTTGCGTAATATCATTAGCACTAAAGAAGCGAATATAAACTTTTCACTGTCTGGAACAAATGTCCAATGATTTTCCTGGTGTTTGAGATGCCAGGCGTACCACTCGAAATAGAAGTTTAGCGTTGTAATATTTTAGTGGCAACTGGAATACAATCTGTGACTCCGACTGAGAGGTTTAGTTTTAATAGCCTTACCACTTGTTATGCAGAGCACAAAGTACTTCAGACTACTTCAATAATAAAAATAATAATAATAATAGACGAGCGGTTTGTTACTTCGCTTTAATCTGGGAAGAAAGGGCAGAAAGGAAGTAACTGTTTACTTTTTTAGGATTAACAAACCAGGTGGGTTTGATTTTACTGTGTACACTGGAGTTTCAGAATCCAGACTGACCGTATGTATTGACCGTATATGGAGAGTAGAAACGCGGGGCTGTTAATTTCAGAAAAAGAACTATTGTTTCTGAAGATAATTTGCTCTGGGAGGCCAAAGAGAGGAAGGCTGTACAAATTTTACTGTCGGATTCTGACAGGGAAGGCGTGTGATTAGCTGGAGTCATGAGGCTGAACTCCTCAGAGTGGTTTTAATCAACAGTCCACCAGAAGCTCCTTTCTCTGAAGTGGAAAAAACTTTTTTTTTCTGCTTTAACTCGGGTTAGACTGCTCTGCTTGTATCCGAAAATGTAATATATTGTAGCTTGGTTGTAAGACTGGATTTACAGTGGGGTTATATTTTCGTCAAGAAAACGACATTTTTATTTTTGAATCTTACTGGACAGCCTACATTGATGGATATTCTTTAAAATACTTTTTAAAAACTGAACTACAAAGCAACATTGAAACCTTTAGGGATAAAATGAAACAGAAGTGTTTCTTGCCTTTAATGTTCATTTACAATGTGCTTTTTACACCTCACGGTATTGCCTCAATTTTTAAGTACTTTCAAGTACTGCCTCTACGGCTCCTTCAAGTGGAATGCAGAAAAGAAGAAGTGAGTATTTAAATGTTTTTGTTTATCCCCTGCTCTCGGAGGTCTGAAAGAAGTGGGGATGTTTTTTCGGTGGCTTTTGGTGCTTCGTCGCCGATATTGTACACGTCCCGTGCTGATTTTAGGGATTGCAATATGCCTCTTCTACCAGACGCTGATGGTAGCAAGGAGTCGGTTTAAATCAAATCAGTCTGGATGTAACGAAGGCAACAATTCTGTTGGAACTGAGAGCAGAGAGGACCACTTCAAGAAGTTCCCAAGAATCTCGGGGCGCCTGATTTCTTTGCGTGACGCTTTACAAAATCTAACATACGTGAGTACTGCACCCATTTGTCGTTTTTAAATGTCCATTCTCAATCGACTGGAGTGATATTTCAATTGCGAGTGGTATTATATAAACATTGCCTTTTTAGATACTGTACAGTACTCCCAGTAAACATACCATTTAGAACGAATGCCTTTCCTTCGAGTTAGTTTCCATTTATGATTTGTTTCGTTCTTTCCAAATGCAATTAATATAATAAAACGTCAACATTTTCTAAAATATCAACAGTGTGTGTCCCCCCCATCGGGTTCAAATCAATTAACTTGCCTGGCCTCCTTTGCTTAAATCGTAGCCTTGACGCGGCAACCGTTGTTAATTCTTCAGGACTGTTTGAGACATCTTTGCAATATTGAAGTTGTCAATCTGTTTAGGACTTGAAATGCATTAGTAAAGTTCCCTGCACTCCTGCACTCCTCGAGTAACTGAGAAATGTGTAGTAGTAAGAAATGAAACATTTGCTCTAGTCCACCCTTTGTGCATTGATCGTAGTTTCTGCTGTTGCTTTGGATAAACGTAGCTGTTAAGCGACGTTATTTCTGTGTTTTCACAAACTAATCAAAATTCACCTCTGGCTTTACAGTGAATTGCAAATTAAGCGAAAACCCTCGGGATTACTTTATGGAAAGCTGTTCAGTGTGTTCTCCAAATGGAGGGACTATGCAGAACTCATCCAGAACTTAAAACTGCTGTCCTTCGTGTCAACATTAAATTGCAATTGCCCGGTACAAACCAAACCTGTTTTAAAAATATGTAAGCTAAACTTAGTTTAGACCAGCTTGTTTGATTCCCATCTGGTAAATTAAATTGAGGAAGTGTAGTTGTTTCAAGAAAAAGAAAATTGATTACACTTAACTTTTAGAATAGAGTATGATACTTAGAATATGTAATTTAAAAGGGTTTCATTATTAAAAAGTAAAGGAGTCAACCTTTCTCATAATACTTTCTAGTTATTTAAAAACAGTGTACAGTACTGTTCAAATTCTAAGTTAAATCTTTGACTGGATATGGGTTGCATTTAGTTTTTTAATGATGTACTGTGCCTTTAATAGATTCGTTGATGAGTCTAAGCTTAATTAAATGAATATTAGATAAAATGACAGCAGTATTAAGTCTGCTGTCACTGTCAGTTATATCCATGTATCCGTGTGTTGTGATAATCTTTTTGTTAACTGAGAATGAAGTTGATCTAGAGATAAAACAGTTAAAGATTGTTAAAACTATTTAAGAATCCCCTAGGATTTTAACTTGAAACAACCTTATTGATAGACTACTGTTCTGCTGCAATAGTTGAAGCTTTATGAAGTTCCAATTTATAGGTAAGAGCTCTTTCAACAATATTGTCAAATGTAACAAAGTGTAATTTCTTTTTACTGCACATTTGTTTTCAAAAGTGTTTTAGACAAATACAGTACATATTATATAGACATGTTCTACCCAGCCATTCAATTCTGTGTAAGTTTAGCAATCCCTTCATCCCATAATCACAAGCCAGCTCTAAAATGATAGTGGATGGTAATAGTGAGCTCTACAGCAAATAACACACTAGTGTCTTGCTATTTGAACTCATGCCCATAGTTTGGCAGCTGTGTTTTGTAAACCATATTAAAACATTGTATTTTTATTTCAGCAAATTCACATTTCATGCTGCCGTCAACCTGTTAGCCAGCTTTATGATATAATCATAATGGTGTATCTCTAACTTGAATGTCTCCTCTTTCTATTATTTTCCTTTTAATAAAAATAATTTGCCTTTGAAATATTCTTTTATATAATATTATTTTGCCTTTATTTAGCACTGGAGCATGAATCTGCCATTGGGGTGTTGTTGTTGTTGAGGGAAATTATGGGTGATACAGCACTCAGTTTTCTGCAGGTTTGTCCTGTAAAGTTATCATTGTGTTACGTATACGAAAAGCCTTGGGCCTTTTTAAATGTTTTTATTAGTCTTAGCTTTTTACTCAAGCAGGCTCCATAATGTAATTTTTCACTTAATTGTCCTGAAATATGTTCTGATGGTAAAGGGCACAGAAATAACTTACAGCCTAAGCTTACAAGCCTGTTTTGCATAATGCACACTTATCAAAACATCACATAATAGTGTCACAGAGTTTTAGACCAGTAGGCCAGTGTATTAATATCTCAGAACTTGCATCAGTGAAGAATTTTATCCTTGGAGCCAACTGTAACAGAAAGCCACATCCTGTGCCTGAGGAAGAAACCGCTGTGCCAGTTCTTTCAAAAGTTACCAAGTGAATAAACAGCACAGAATAGCTAAACAGTTCGGCCCTTCTACTGGTGGTGAGTGCAATTTGAATAAAGACAAAACAAAGCCGCTTGTATTATTAACTATGCATTTTGGAGAGATCAGGTCAACATTTCACTCTCTGCTGCTTCTGATAGGCACATACAGTACTGCAAGTCATTCTCTAGGTATCTTAGATTTTTGTAAAATAAAAATAATTCAAACAGTGCTGTTTCACATGGTTTCTTGTTGCCACTGAGGCTCAGTTATTTCTCCTTACTCTAACTAGTGTTCATCACACAGTATGGTAAAATGTGTCAAAAAATTTAAGAAGCACTTTAATAATATATATCTGCAGTATAGACTTCCTTTTTTGTTAACTTCAGTTTTATAGAATTTGGGCAATATAGTGAAATGTTACAAATTTGAGTTGTTGTTAGAATCTGTTTAATAATACTTTCAGATTCACTCTTCAAGTGGTATTATATCAGACCTAACACATGGACTTTTGTTTTTTATTTGAGGACACAAAAAGGCTAAAAAATGCATAGAGGTCATTTGGCCTATCTAGCTCATTTGTTTGAACTGATCCCAGAACAGCAATATCTGTGTTGTGGTGACCAATATTTCACTCAGTAGTGTAAATGAAGTCTTACCAGTGCATTGTAGAATTTTAAAACAACATTCATTCATTTATATGCTGCATTTTGAAGTATTTGGACAGTGACACAATTTTTGCTGTTTTGGCTCTGTACTCCAGTACATTTAATTTGAATTAAAACAATTACTATGAGGTACAGAATGTCAGCTTTAATGCGAGGGTATTTACATCTATATTGGGTAAACCATATAGGAATAACAGCTCTTTTTATACATAGTCCCCCCATTTCATGAGACCAAAAGTAATTGGACACATTAACAAAATTAACAAAATCTTAAATAAAATTTGGCATGTTAGCAAATCCTTTGCAATTGCAAATCTGCGACCCATAGACATCACCAGACGCTGGGTGTCTTTCCTGGTGATGGTCTGCCAGGCCTGTAATTCAGCCATTTCAGTTCCTGCTTGTTTCGGGGGCTTTTTGCCTTCAGTCTTGTCTTCAGTAAGTGAAACGCATGCTCAATGGGATTCAGGTCGGGTGAATGACCTGGCCAGTCAAAAAAATTCCACTTTTTGGCCCTGAAAAACTCCATAGTTGCTTTAGCAGAATGTTTGGGGTCATTGTCCTGCTGCAAGGTGAAGCTCTGTCCAATGAGTTGTGAAGCATTTGGTTGGATCTTAGCAAATAAGATTCTTCTGTACACTTCAGAATTCATCCTGCTGCTGCTGTCTGCAGTCACATCATCAATAAAGACACGTGAGCAGTTCCACTGGCAGCCATACACGCCCAAGCCATGACACTACCTCCACCATGTTCCACAGATGAGGTGGTATGCTTTGGATCATCAGCAGTTCCATTTTCTCTCCATATTTTTCTCTTTCCATCACTCTGGTACAGGTTAATCTTCGTCTCATCTGCCCATAAGGCTTTGTCCCAGAACTCTAGAGGCTTTTTAATGTACTTTTTAGCAAACTGTAAACTGGCCTTTCTGTGGCCTTTCTTACCAGTGGTTTGCATCTTGTGGTGAACCCTCTGAGATTATGCTGGTGTATTCTTCTCTTTATGGTAGTCTTTGACACATCTATGCCTACATCATGGAGAGTGTTCCTGATCTGTTCAACAGTTGGAAAGGGGTTTTTCTTCATGGTTGAAAGTATTCTTCGGTCATCCACTGCTGCTGTCTTCTGTGGTCTACCAGGTTGTTTGCTATTGCTAAGATCACCAGTGCGTTCTTGCTTCTTAACTTTGTACTAAACAGTTGATTTTAACACACCTAATGTTTTGGCTATGTCTTTGATTGATTTCTTCAGATTTTTCAGCCTCACGAGGGCCCGCTTTAATGGCATTAACACTTCTATGGTCCTCATGTTGAGAGACAACAGCAACAGACTACAGATGTAAATGCCACATCTAGAATCAACTCTAGACCTTTTGTTAGCTCTCTTGTGGATGAACTAATGATGCAACAACACAGAGCTGGCTAAGAAACAACTGAGCAGCCAATTGCCCAATTACATTTGGTCCCCTAAAATGGGAGGACTATGTATAAAAAGAGCTGTGATTCCTGTATGGTTCACCCAGTATAGACCTAAATACCCTCTAATTAAAGCTGACATTCTGCACTTTAACCTCATAGCCATTGTTTTATTTCAAATCCAATGTGCTGGAGTACAGAGCCAAACCAACAAAAATTGTCACTGTCCAAATACTTATGGACTGCACTGCTAACTAACATTTGGTCTGCACTTTTTATTGCTTCCACACATTGTCTAGGAGAGGAAAAAGGTGCTTATGTTGACGCATCAAAGTCTTTTTCATTGTTAGTTTTTTCAAG